ATCTAAATCACAATGCGTCCCCATCAAATATCCCTCACATATATTCTCCCCTCAAACGGTCTCAAATTCAACTGCCCCTCCTCCTCTCCACTCTGCACACCCTCCTCATAACTTCCAAACAACAATCCTCCCATCTCAACCGGAACCTTCCATTTCACATCCCACTCTTTGAAATTGCACGCCACCAAATATTCCTTCTTCTCGCCCTTTCTCACATATGCGTACACTTCCTGATTCTCCTGATCCACCATCTCGAATCCTCCTTTACATAATACGGGATTGTCTTTCCGGAGTTTAATCATCTGTTTCCAGAATTCCAGCGTACTTCCCTTAACTCCCTCTTGCGCCGCGACGTTGATTTCCTTGTACTCCTCATTCGTCTTGATCCACGGTTTACCCTTTGTAAATCCACCGTGTGGAGAGTCATCCCATTGCATACCCATCCTCGAGTTATCTCTTCCGTAGCCTTGGATTCCGCGATAGATATCACTCATATCAACTTCTTTCCCATTTGATTCTTTCTCCCTGCGTGCCTTTTCGGCCGCGAAGAAATTAATCTCTTCGACATCTCTGAACTCTTCATTTGTCCACCATTTGCTGTTTGCCGTTCCGATTTCTTGTCCTTGATAGACGAATAGGGTTCCTCTACCGGTTGCATGGAATAGCGCTAACATTTTTGCAGCTTGCACTCTCCATTCCGGAGTATCTTTTGCCCAGCGCCCAAGAATACGCGGCTGATCGTGATTCTCTAGGTAGAGGGAGTCCCAGCCGTCATTCGCCGTATTGAAAGCCATCCACTCTCCGAGATTTCTCTTCATATCGGTAAGATCCCATGAAGAACGAGGGAAGAAAGGTTTCTTTCCGGGTTGGATATCGAAGTACATGTGTTCGAATTGGAAGATCATTTGAAGAGGTTTTCCTCCTTGTACGAGGGGCAATGCACTCTCAGGTCTCTTGAGTCCTGGGGTTTCTCCCACGGTGAATGCTTCGGGGTAATGGCAGAGTACTTCGCGATGCATTTCCTCCAAATACTCTTTGACGTGAGGCCCATTGAAATTACCTCTCACGCCAATCTGGAATTCAAGTCTCGGATCCGTAACCTCAAAATCGGGAAATCCAGGTTCCTTTGAAATGCAATTGATAACATCCATACGGAACCCATCACATCCCTTATCGAGCCAAAAGCGCATGATATCCCAGACCTCATTGCGAACTGCTGGATTTGTCCAGTTAAGATCGGGTTGGCTGACGTCGTAGACGTGGAGATAGTATTCGTCTGTTTGGTGGGAAGGATCTTTTTCCCAGGATGATCCACCGAACATGGCACCCCAGTTATTGGGTTCTTTACCATCCTTGGGTGGTTGCCAGTAGTAGAAGTCTCTCTTGGGACCGTTGGGACCACCGGAAACGGATTCTTTGAACCATGGGTGTTCGGAACTGGTGTGATTTACCACGAGATCCATCACAAGTTTTAACCCTAGTTCGTGGGCTCTGGCGCAAAGACCTAAGTGTTGTTAATATTTTCCGAGAGGTTTGCGAAGGAGATGAGGGGGTAGCTTACGTTCCCAGTCTTCCATAGTGCCGAACATAGGGTTGATAGCTCGGTAATCCGAAATATCATAGCCCATATCATTCATAGGAGATGCATAGATAGGTGAAATCCATACTACATCTACACCGAGAGATCTGATATATGGTAATTTCGAGGTGATACCATTGAGATCACCATCTCCAGATCCGGTGGTGTCGAGATAGGAGGCCGGGTAGATTTGATATACAACGGCTTCTTTCCACCATTGATGAGTTGAGCCAATGGTTCTTCTGGCTATGGATCCCATATTGACGTTGCGTGTGAGGGACGGGGTGATAAGGGGTATATAAAAAGATATTGCAACTGTTTGGGTATATACTCTGGTATCTTCAAATCGAGGTTCAAAAGTGTTCTCGAACAATATAGAGCGCTGGGTATTGAAAAGAAATCGAAGAAATTGGTACAATTGACGAAAAGACAGGTAAATAGATTCCCAGAAGCCTTTCTATTAAATTTGATTGAGAAAGAGACAGTCTTATGTGAATGAGATATATGCAAAAGCAACAGAGTTTGTGTGTTGTTCAAAGATACACAAGCAACCTGACATGTAACACCGCAAAAACGACGAAATGATGGCCAATATTTATACATTTTATGGGTAAAGATTTCATTGTACATGATTCCCAGCAATTTCATGCCCGAATCATGAATATCTTGTCGCAACTGAATCTCACCGCATGAAAAAGAGGCTAAAAACAAGGGGTCCAGGGTCCAATACCCCGCCAAAAGAAAGTATGAGGGATCCGATAAAAAGCACGTCAAGCACGTTGTTTTGCATGCGGAGAAAAGAATCAGATGATCTTCCCACATGCCACCGAACGAATGAGAACCGAAATAGAATAATTTGGCAGGTGTTTTCGATTCATTTTTGTTGGTTCTCATCTCCCTCCACCTATTTTGATTCATGCACAATCAAAGTCTTCTTGTTCGAAGCCTTGGAAGCATGTACCGTGCGGACAATAGGGCTTCATCGAGACTGTTTCGCAATTGAAAGGATGTTATCGTGTTGCAAGAAGATAAGGAAGGGTTTCCGCGTGATGGAAATTTGAAAGAGTTTTTTTCTCTTCAGGTCGATCACGATGGATGTTAAGGTTTCGCACGGTGAGAAGTTGGGAGTGGGGAGTTTGATAAAGAGGGGTTTGAGTCAGGAGGAAGTGGGATGGATGATGGATGATGGTGGGATGGTGATCGTTTCGGGGATGAGCGGAGCTGACTAATACCCGCTGCTAGAAAGACTATAATTGGTTAACAAAAGGAAAATAATCACGTGCTGTGCTGAAACTGGGAGCATAGTTGCGTTTCGCGGACGACAGGTCACTTGGACGAACCTGAAGTGTGGTTGATGCGAGGTTACATCGGTTTCAGAAAGTACTTCGTCCTATCCAGCATTCACAACGGGCTGTGCAAAACACGTTTTACTGATGCATAATTCAAAAGCCTGCGGTTCAAATCATGGCATTACCATCACATCTCATGCGTTTTGAATGCTAATCATACTCTTCCCCTATCAAGTCAATCGTCGGTACAGTCGTTGGTGCGGAAAGCGTAGAAGCTGCTGTAGAAGCCACTTTGGAGATTACCCCAGATGCTTCTTTCTTTATAGTATCCGAAGTGATAAACCCCACATGTCTCAGCTTTTCGAGCACATCCGAAAACTGCCATCCCGGATCGCTTCCCCTCAAAAATCTTTCCGTTTGTATCCATTTCTCAACCGTATCTAATAGTTCCTCGCTTACTTGTCTTCTCTTTGCAGCGTAAGGCAAAGCCATTCTAACCAGTTTCTTTGGCCACGTCGTCCAAATGAAAAATGGACTTTCTTCTACCCACTCGGATGGATCTTTCAATATTTCTTGCTTTTGCGGTTTGTCGCTCTCAATAAACTCTTCGTAGTCTAATGCCACGTTGTAGAGTACATACGCAAGACCAACGGTAAGTAGAACATTAGCGAGGAAGAAGAACCATGTGAAGAAGGTTTTTCTTTTGGCGTTATTTGTGCTCTTATTTTGACTGTAGGGCGAATTAACAATGACGTTGGAAAATGATAGAGGCATAGCTCGAATCTGAGCATTGGATCCAAGCCTATTATCTGTATTGTAACCTGTTCGGAGAGGTTCATTGTCTCCTACCGCTACATCGTCATCCTCCTCTGAATACTCTCTAGGATCATTGGCAGGTCTTGGTATCGGAATCGGTTCTTGCATAATCTGCACAATAACATCCGATAGTGATTGACCCGGGGGAATTTCAAATTTCTTCCTGGCGGGAATGTCGTATTCATCCCAATCGTCTTTCAGACGCTCCAGCGCACCCAGCCACTGCTCCTTCATTGGATTTCCATAGTGCACCGGCATGAGATCCCGAGTGATTTGACTACGTGCAAGCGAAACGAGCTTATAATCCCAGTCTTCAATCTCCATAGCGTCGATAAGATTGAGCCTAGGCTTACAATTATCATCTAGAATGATGATTCCTGGTTCCACCATAGCCTGTTCCATTTCTTTCAGCACTCGTTCTCGAATCTCTCTTAACTTTTCCCATGATATGGGCTGAGGAGCAGGACCAGCTATCAAATCTCTTTCTGCTAATCCCTCAGCTGATTGCGGATCATTGAAATAAAAGCTGGATCGAAAGAAAGTGACATTAGTGTCGGGAAGTATCTGATCCTTAATTTCGCCGAGGGCGCCCACTCCAATATTGGGGAAAGCCACGATGATCTTTGCTCGTTGTATAAATTCATCTCTTGCCATCTTTCAATTGCTTTTCTATCCAATTAAATCAAATTTTGGCGGTCTGCAATTGGCCTTCGATGGAGTCCGATATACTGAAGTTGGTGAAATGCTAAAATCTACGCCGATACATTTTGATTGAGATAAGGAGATATCTTACGGTTTTGGATCAAGGAGTCTTTGTTGGCATTGACCAAACAGCAAAGCGCGTAGCTTCTATCAAGGAGAAGAATTGGGGATTAGCCATTAGTCTTTGTTGTATGAAATTCGGAATAAATGAGTGAATGAAAATAATTTAGCGAGTCCGCAAACGGGACTAGTACTATTACAAAATAAGCATACAAGTCTAAAGCTAAGAGTAATGAGTTCAACAACTTTAGGATGATTTGTTTTGCTAATACAAAGACTTTAAATCTACTCGGAATTGACGCTTTTGGTTGAGTGTGCAATGTAAAATTCTATAAATGGAGATGAATGCTTTTATATTTTGCCTGTGAACAAGATGATTTATGAGTCGGACTCCAAAGTAATAGTGAGCCCAAGTTGATGAATCATTGCTTGGTGATACAATCATCTACTATCCTAGAACAATCCCCAACACCAGCTGTATTCTGATTGACTTCCACTGCAAGTTTTAATAGCCCGTAATATAACCAAGCAAGAATAGATCTCTCATCGCGAGCCTATTTCGTACCTTCGTCACTCTGTGTTAATGCCTCATCCATGGGCAACTCAGCCGCCTCAGTTTCATGAAGCTCAAAAGTCTCAACAGACATCTGCTTCTCATGTAGCCCCAGATCCCCACTATCCAAGTACGTAACCTCCTCTGCAGCTTGATCAACAAGACCTTTTTCCATCCCATCCTCGTCATTTATAGCTGTCTCTTTTGCTGCCCGATCCTCAGACTCGACCGCCAATATGTTAACCCAGCTCTGAACAACATTCGCATCCCATGGAATTCCAACGACTTCGCCTATAATCACAACTGCAATCAAGCACATTTGAATGTACTCATGCCAGCAGTTTCTCAAACTGCAGACTTTGTCAAAAAATCCCAACGGCTGCATAGTATCCACAATTACTCGTCCAAGATGTGATATAAAAATCAGAATAGATGAAGTGATCCATTCTCTCTGCTTTGGAAATGCCTTGTGTCGATATAGCTTGATGGAGACACCAAGCGTTAGAGGAGCCCAGAATGGGTAGACTGGTGATAAGATCACAGTCATCCAGGAGAAAAGTAGATCTAAACCATGAGAAAGGTATGGAATATGAATGATGTCCGTCGCGATGAAAACAACGAGGAAAATTAAAGCAAAAAGGATTGCAACCCTGGAAACGGAAACTACCACGGCGCGTTTGTCTATGGGTGATTTAGACATATTCAGTTTGTGGAGGATAGCCAGAAATATTGTTGTGTTGAGATGAATTGAGAAAAAAGAGAAGATAATTTTGGGTGTCGTCGTGGTTGAGTTATCTATCACGGGAGTAATGGCACGATTACGTCAAATGCGACCTTGGCGATTATTAGCTTATGCTGGCGTGAGATTCGGTGGATCTAGTGTGGTGCTGGCACTGCTGTGAGATTTAAGACCGTTAAGCTTCAATTCAAATGGATATCTAGTAACGTAACTTATGGTGAACCGGGTCATATGAGGAACCGGGTCACATTTAGCCCATCACTAACTTCAAACCCTAACAAATTTTGCTATATATACCAAATCACCTCTTACATTTTCTTAAATTGAAGAGAAAATATAAAATATTATTATTATATTTCAATTAAAGGAATTTAAATCAATTAAAAAGACTGCAGAATATTTTGAAGTTCCTAAATCAATTTTTATAGTTAGGGTTGCTGAAAGGAAATTATATACTCAATCCCACGAAATGACTCAAATTCTTTTAAATGTAAAAGAAAATACTCTTGTATAATAGATTTCACAATTTATTATTATTAAATTCCTTATTATATTTATATTAGTAAAAGAAATAACCAACGAAATTCGTTTTCGACATGTTCAGATCACATTATCTCGAATTCTTATCTTAATAGAAATTCCATTTATAAATTACAAATGGATTTATAAATTCCAAAAACGATATCCAGAACTTAAAACATGCTATTCATATTAATTAAAGTTTAATCGAATTAAAAAGGTAATATTAGAGAATATTCAGGCTTAGTTTAACATATTTCGTACACATCTCATTGAACGAAAGTATGAATTAAATGATATATATAATATAGACGAAATCGGATTTGGAGTTGGAAGTACTCAAAATATGTATATTATAGTTAATTCTATTCAGAAATCGAATTGGAAAGTTACAGTTGGTAAGCAAGAATGAATAATTGCATTTGAATGTATCAATGTAGTTGGAAAGACTTTATCATTTATAATCATTTTCAAGACTTAGAATACAAATTCTATATAAATTCCAAAGGATACATTTTAAAGCTGACAGTTCTTTACTAATATAAATGAATAAATCTCAAATAGTTATAAATTAGAATAATTAGAAAGGATTTTCAAACCAGAATTCAAGAAAATGTTAGATAACCAATCTCGACTTTTGATCATAAATAATCATTCAAATTATATTATAGGTAGCTTTATTATTTTCTATATAGAGAAGAATATTGATTTATTTATATTACCTCCTTATTACTTTCACTTACTTTAACTACTTGATATTGTAGTATATAGGCCAATGAAACGATATTATGCTTTAAAGATTGATCGATATTCTCGAACTAATGTAAAGCGAATTGAAAGAGTTGAATGAATAGAACTCTTTCAAAATATTAAAAAAAAAGCACTGAATTCTTTTAATATTAAAGCTGGTTAAAAAGGAACTAATTTAATACCTTTTATTCCATAAAAAGTACTCGATTCATTACTATTTAACTCCTCTCAATAACCTTCCATTCTATAAATAAGAATCTTCAATTAAGATCTAAACTTATCTATATTTAAAAACTCTTTTTCAAATAGGATAAAATTAAGGCAAGTAAATCAGATCTTTAATAAAACTCTAATAAATAATAATTCTCTTATAACGTAACGTATGGGGAACTCGGACATATGGGGAACTCGGACACTTTTTCAATTATTCTACACGCGATCTTGTTCTACGAGCCACACAATCCTCCAATTCCAATTCCGAATCACTTGAACTATTCTCTAGCTCTTCTTCTTCAATCTCTTCTTCTGATTCTTCAATTGGGCGTTTGCGTGGCCGTCCTCGTGGCTTTTTCTCCTTCGGTTTTTCCTCCGCCTCACGTACCATTTTCAATACTTCCTTAGTACTAAAGACAAATTGACCTTGTAATTTGACTCTTTTGCCTTTAGTTCTTTTCTTTCGAGTCTCAATTACCTCCTGAGCATCAGAGAGCTGTTTCCGAAGTAGGGCTATCTCAGCATTTTGAGATTCTACAAGCCTAGTCATTCTCTTGGCATATCGACGAGTTGGCGATGCAGGAGAACCACTGCTTGCTAGAGCTGTATTAAAGATCTGATTTGCTTGCCTTAATTCTGTTCCATCTGGAGGAGAACTCCTGAGTATAGACAAGTCTAGGTCTTGATTGGGGGTTCTCATTTGTGGAGTAGAAGGTTGCTGGGAGGAGTTAAATGGTAATGAATCGAGTACTTTTCGTGGGGCAAAAGGTACTAAACCAGCTCCTCTCCAGCCAGCTTTAATATTAGAAGAATTCAATGCTTTTTTTCTAATATTTTGAAAGAGTTCTACCCATTCAGCTCTTTGGATTCGCTTTACACCAGCTCGAGAATATCGATCGACCTCTAAAGCATGATATCGTTTCATTGGCCCATACACCGCAATATCAAGTGGCTGAAGCAAGTGAGAGCAATGAGGAGGTAATATAAGTAAATCAATATCATTATCTATACAGAAAGCAATAAAGCTACCTGTAATATGGCTTGAATGGCCATCCATGATCAAAAGTCGAGGTCGGTCACCTGACACTTTCTTGGATTCTGGTTCGAAAACCCTTTTTAACCATTCTAATCCATGGCTATTTGAGGTCCATCCATTTGTACTAGTAGAGAACTGCCAGCTTTGAGGTGTGTCCTTTGGAATCCATGCAGAATTCGTATTCTGAGCCTTGAAAATGACCATAGGTGATAGAGCATTTCCAGCTGCATTGACACATTCAAATGCAGTTATCCATTCTTGCTTGCCAGCTGTAACTTTCCAATTCGATTTCTGAGTAGAATCGACTATAATGCGCGTACTTTGAGTACTTCCAACTCCAAATCCGGTTTCATCCATATTATACATATCATCTAATTCATACTTTCGCTCAATGAGACGCGTGCGAAACGCGTCAAACCAAGCCTGAATATTCTCCGGAGTTGCTTCTTTAGCCCGATTAGACTCTAATTGACGTGAATAGCATGTTTTAAGTTCTGGATGTCGTTTTTGGAATCTATAGATCCATTCGTGGCCTATAGGTGGAATTTCTGTCGAGGTAGGATTTCGAGATGACGCGACCCGAACGCGTCGAAGACGAATTTCGTCGGCCATTTCCTTCACCAACATAGGTGTAGCAGGGAATCCAGTGATGGTAAGTCGTGAAATCCATCGTACAAGAGTATTTTCTTCTGCGTTTGAAAGAATTTGAGCCATTTCGTGGGTTTGGGAACGTGTTTTCTTCCCAGCCAGCCTATCAGCTAGGGTAGACTTAGGGACTTCAAAATGCTCTGCAGCCTTTCTAATTGATTTAAATTCTTTCAATTAAAGTGAAATTATAGCCTTTTGAAGCTTCTATTCAATTTGAGCAGATGTAGAAGGTGATTGGGTATGCATAATAAAAGTTATTGCGGTTTCAAGTTGGTGATGGGCTAAAAGTGTCCGAGTTCCCCATATGTCCGAGTTCCCCATACGTTACGTTATCATTAATTCGTTAATATATTAAAAGAATAACTAAACTTATAGAATCTCAAAATACTAAAATAGCTCTACTTCGAAAATAGCTTGCTAATACTCAAAAGGTAATTGAAACTTAAAAGAAAAGAATTAAAAGCAAAAGAATCAAATTATAAGATCAATTTATCTTTAGTAATAAGAAAGTACTAAAAATGATACATAAGGTAAAGGAAAAACCTAAGGAGAAAAAGCCACAAGAACAACCATATAAACATCCAATTGAAGAATTAAAAAAGGAGATTGAAAAAGAAGAACCAAAAAGTAGTTCAAATAATTTAGAATTAGAATTGAATAAATATATAGCTTATAAAACAAGATTATATAAAGAGAATTGAATTTTGTGACCCGGTTCCCCATATGATCTGGTTCACCATAAGTTACGTTATCAAAGTTTGAGCAATTGGGGGGTAAATCCCTTTAGTACTGATCATGATTTACGGACGATATGATAATCCCATATGTTTCTGTGGGCTAGACGCTGGCTCCCTTTTGCTCCCTCCAAACAACAGAGCTTCTTGGTTCAGCTTGTATATCACTCCAGTTCCATCGGTGCACACTTTCATCGTCATCGTCCACGGCAACCTCAAACTTTCAAGACGTTTTGACCTCCTTGTCATGGCGCAATTGAGTAGTAAAATCGTCAAGTCTCTTGGGGCTGCTTGTACTTAAGCGTCTCCATCTCAATTAGCGACCTTTCGAATCATGTCATTGGCACTCGACAGCAATTTCTCCCTTATCATACTCCCTCTCTCCTTGGTCTTCAATCCTTCTTTGCTCATTTCCATTGTCCGAGGTAGCCCACCATTCATCTAACATCTCATCAATCGATCCTTCATCAATATCCCACTCTGAGCCCCAAATCAAAAGAGCCAAAACAATGAGTACAGTCTCCGTCCAAACCCTCCATTGCCCAACAAAGTCCCCATTCATGCTCCGTAATATCAGCAATACCCGCGGTACTGATCGGCTTAAAAGTTGTATCATATTTGCTGCATTTACGAATTTGCTGGCTGTACTCGTCTTCCATTTTTCGTGACACAAGAAGCGTAGATTGATGTAGAAGTTGATGGGTACAAGAAAGGGTATAAGAGGCCCGATGAGAGTGTGAAGAGTTTCATAGATTTGACTGAGTTGAGTAGCCATAGTGTCTGCTGGGTTGGGGTTTGAACTTGAACGCCATTGTGACAGTAACTGCATCTATATCGACAATGTTCAAAAAGCTACCAGGTATGTGTACCGGTTTTCTGGTACTTGTCGTGACGAAGCTCATGTCATACAAATGCGGGGTGGCTTAAGTGCTGCGCCACAGAGGATTCCCTACCTTGACCTCGACCCCTTGGAAAGCATAATACGTCAAAATATCATCAGATGACTTGATACTCAGGATAAATAGGATAATCTCTTTCGTATACCGGTGATGGATCGAATATTTACCCTAAGCCTGTAAGCTAGGTGCATAGATGTAGATTCTTCTTATTAGATAGCGACACCAGAGCTAGAGTGGCAATGTTGAATGCAGATTGCACAAACCAAAGTACTAGAAAGCCTTATGTGCAGGAGAGAAAGTGTTGAACAATATCCTGCCCCTTTGGAATGCCAACCAGGTACGTCATGCCAAAAATGCTTGACAATACTGGAAAATTAAACAATGCGATCATCAAGTCACAGCTCGTTTGGGGAAGACGTTGAGATCATAAGAACCATTACCCTTCTGCGATCCCCGCTTCCAGGCAGGCCTATCATAAATTCTCTTCAACCACTCATCTAATCTAGGAAATTCCTTTTCCAGATCAACCCGATTTCTATGTTTTACGAAGCTCATTGGGAACTTCATCATAATATCGGCTCTACCAGGATTCTTCCCCATGAAATACCCGCCTTCCGGTGCATTTTTCAGTTCTTCGTCCAAGATAGTTAGAAGCTCCCTCAACTCAGGACCATCAAGCCACTCTACCTTTCCATTCCTATGAAATATAAATCGATTAAAAGGATAAGGTAAACCGATCGCACGAATGTCGTAAGATTAAAACAATTAAGGATCTCATCTCTGACTCAATCACCGCTATTTAAGCCAAACCTATCCTCAGTGTCAAAATTGCGAAGAAGATATGTGCATATGGCATCGCTCTCGGGAGTATATCGATTGCCATTCGCGGTCCCAGTTGTGAGAACTGGGGCCTTTCCATATGGGCCGAGGGCTTTGAGGGATTCGGGAGAGCGAAAAGGGACAATAGGATCATCGACAGGTTTGCGGAAGTGGTAGATCACATTGTATTCAACACCTAGCTCTTCAAGAAGCCAGAGGATACGTTGATACTGGGAGTGCTGGTTTCGTCAGCTAGCTAACATTAGATTCGGAGGGGCGAACTTACATCGAAGTGATGGAGAGTTGGCTTATTATCTGTCATCTTGTTTGACTGAGGTGTAGGTAAATCAAGCTGAGGTTGATGGAAGATGCTGTTCATTCAGTATTGAAGAGATAAGAAATTCGACGGCTTTATAAGAAATCTACAGATTGATTTCTGTGACTGATACGTCACTGAAGTATAACGAATGGAATGAGAAAGCCATGAGATGCTTTGCGCAAGCACATTCCGCGTGTGGTTCTTCGAAATCAGTAACCTACAATTCTTTTAGCTACGGAACCTGTCCCGAAGTTGTGTAAGAACTCAAGGGAAGCGAAGTCCAGAGTCACAATATAGTTTTCATGTAGTGCGAGTATTCATCGCATCCATGTTCATCGACGTGATTGTTGATTTATGGGGGCAAGACTGTCGTGTACGGATGAAGGGGAAGTCATGGATTCTGAAAGTAGGCGGCGATGGCCCGGGCTGAAGCAAGTGGAAGTTCACGGGCCTTCTCACCACATCCGGACTCTCATTCTAAAATTTGTACTCCACTACCACAACATTCGTTGGTCTGCAAAACAGCGAGACACTTTATCTACATACACAAGTTCGAAAAAGAGTATCATGGATCAAATTTCCAGAAGATCTAGGATATCAGTATTACACTTGAACTCCCAGCTACACTGACGCCTTCCACAAAACTTGGGTGGCGTGCTTCGACATCCAACTCCAAAAACTTGCTTCTTCTCCAATGTCTGACTAAATCGGAATTCTTGATACTTGAGGAAGGACTATAATTTCTCGTCAGTGTGCCAATTGGGTCATACTTTAGCCCATACCTGTCCTGCCCGAATGTTCCCCCTGTCAGACCCAAGCAAGCTCTTATGAGATATCCCCATCAAGTTTTCTTTTTCACGAGGCCAAACATCGGGTATGGTAGCTGGCTGATGCTTCTTAGTCTTATCAAGTTTAATTTCAGATGTATCAAAAATCAACCGTGGCGTTTGAATCCGCGATGATATTCTTATCGGGTACTCAAATTTTCACGGCTTGTGTCTTGGACGCAAATGATTTTAGTATTAATAATATACTTTCACCGGCACTCAACCAGAAATTATGTTGACCAGACGAGCTATATTCCTTGGTAATACCATCATTCGCTACCTATCTAATTTTAGCTGTCTAGCTAGGTGACATATCGACAAGTATCCATTCTTGATTGACCTTTCATTATTCCGATAAGCACGATTCTACCTTGCTCTGAGCGAGATTCAACATTCACATAGTTCGCAAAGAGACCCGGATATAACATTTCCGAATTTGCCTACAGCGCAATAAATCAAGTCGCTTATGCACATCGCCTGTTTCTCCAGTCTCCCCCACAGCCTCCGAACCTAGTAACCCGCATTTTCGCTCGGTACTTAGCGAATCATTTCAGGACGTCTTATACCTACTTCCCGGTCTTTCAACTTCTTTTGGTTACAGATTTCTCCATTAAGGTGGTCATGAAATTGGCATGGTGGCAAGTCCCATATGTCCGTGAAGGTCACTATTTCTCCATGTAATCCTTCCCTGAGATCAACAGAGTCGTCTTCCAAGCCATCGATGCTTTTTGCCATGTCACAGTACCGTGGCCAAAGCTCTGGAAGACAACGATCTAGGTCATAGTTGAAGCTATAGCAGGCTAGCCTTCTTAAACCGCAATTCTTTGGGGTATGCTCATAGATACCAGCGATGTCTTCCGTCGTCAGTATGGCTCGGTTTAATTCCAGAAATCTCACGACATAATCTGTTATGAGATTCATCAAATTTTCCACACGCAATCTGCTCGCCAGCAAATAGAGCCCACCCCAATTGAACCCCGTTTGGATCAGAACGACTGGACATCATCCTGCATGCGTTCACCCATTTCTTTGCCATCAGGATAAATCGACCATGGAGGCAAATGCCCATTAGACGCCCACCACATCAAATCATGAAAAGCCTCGAAGCTGCCACTGGGGAATGTGACGGAATTCGATGCTGCTTCTTGGGATGTTCCACTAAAGAAGTTTTTGAAGTATGAAATCTTCTCGCACAGAATCTTCTTATAAACTCGGATCACGAATCTTTCAGGGCCGATATATATCTTGACAATTTCTTTTTCTGGGCTCCCATCTTCCTGGTCCTCAGATGGGCAGTGAAGGGGTGTGAAATTGTCCCGCTGCTCGTCTTCCTTATGTTCGACAGGGCAGTGGAGAACCAGGCCAGCTTTTTCTGATGGAGTCTCGAAGTCGCAGATATCTGCAGCCATTTGCTTACTCTCTTTCGAGCGCTTTTGGTATTTCCAAGGTTCAGTACGTTCGTCCCATACAACACCAATTAGACCTTCATCTTGGAGATCATCTTTCCATTGCTCAAGTCGAGACCGCCAGTGTTCTGAACCGATGGTTACTGATTGGTTTTTGTCACTGAAATTTATAAACTTTGTGAATACCGGATCCTTTCGCGTCCGTGTTGTAGTGCTGCTTGCAGATTCTTTGTGTGGCTTTCTGATCTCCTTTTCGGTGATCGCGTATGGCGTTTGATGGCTGACTCCTGTACTTCTTTTTGCGGGTGTCGGTACTTCTTCGACATCTTCATCTGTCTCTTCGTATCCTTCACAATCCTTGAAGTAACTCCCTTGCTCGCACATGAAATCTTTTTGAGGTGTTTGAGTTTTATCCTTGGCATCACCCTGCTCTTTGAATTCATCTCTATGCGCTTTGACTGCGGATTCTCTCTCCTCGCCTTTCGCGATAGTAGTATTTGAATTTTGACTTTTGGGCGCAAGTCGTCTCCTATTTTTCTTCGATGGTGCCATTGTGAAGATCTAATTGTGTCAGAATTTCTGGAAGCCAAAATATAACATTGTCTCCAAGAAGGCGCATCCTCTCCAAATTCTAGAGAAACTTTGAAGCTCTTGAGGATTTCCTGTCGTATGAAGATTAAAAAACGATTGCCACATACCTCTTCAATTTCTCCTGACTATCTTGACAGCGCAGAAACCAGGATAGATCTTGTGAAGTAGTCCTTTGCTGCAAAGGCTAGTATCTAGTAGCTGCAAGTTTGTTCTTGGTAGAACAGGTTTAACTTGACATTGAAGATGGGTGCCAACTACTGTAGGTCCAGGTTCCCGTTGCAAAAGAAGATTGATTTGAAGTTGATAATGAGAGTCGAATGCCAAAGTTGCAGTTTCTTCTTGATTCAAGTATTGAAAATTGGTATTCGAAGTCCCATCCAACTCTTTAAAAAGGTTGGTAATGTGAGGGGAACAAATTTTCTTGATCTTCAATGGTGAGTTTTGTAATAGGTTAAGTAGTGGGTCGGGCTTCGGATAGTAGAGTGACAGGCAACATTCGGCTAGTGTGATATATTGTTAAATTGATAATGAGCATAGTAATAAAAGTTCTGACATCTATATTGCAGGACTTACAGCCAGGGTAATTTACTGTTAAGTGAATACGATATATAATGATTATATTGTAGTGATAAAGGTTCAGGTTCTACAGTAGGTACCTAGGGTTATTGTTTTACACAGACAGTCACGGGATTATTGAATCAACTAGTAGGATATAACCAATACACATAGGTATGCATCAATGATTTCATCTCTCCACTGTTTCTTCTGCTTTCACAGATAGCAATCTAGCAACAGAGACAAACACAGGTGATTCACTAGTAGACTACAACGTCTTGGATTGATCAAGTGTCAACATCCTTGTCTATTACTGCTGTCATCCTGCTTTGGCAATTGATTGCTCGCTACAAACCGATACAGGAGTCACTATTCTTTATTGTTTGCTTGATTGAAAAGAAATTGTACAATACTCATGAGATGTTGATTGTATGTTCAAGTTTTTTTTTTTGAACTGGGAAAAATGCTTCTATTGACTAAAATCTAATCATGACTATTTGAGAGCTGAGTAGCTTTGCAGGCACAGGTATGGCTAAGAACAACCTTTCGACTTGCCTTGACTATAACAAACATACTTTAAAGCTTCCCAAGTTCATTTTTTTTTTACTCCCCATTTGCCTCTTCCTAAACCACACCTAAGTCTTGACACAAAGCGCTTGTCCCACACTCAAATTGGCACAACCAGAATCAATCTCGGTGTTCAAACTCTTCAAAGTATCCAACGTGATTCCATTCTTCGCATCAACAATATCACATGTATCTCCCATTGAGACAATGAAGAATGTAGTGCAATTTGCAGCGGTTCCAGGGAACACGGTACCGGTGGTGTTGGTGGTTGGATCGGTTACAGTGGCGGTTATGGTGGTGGTATTTGCAGAACTAGTGGTGTTTGCTTGAGGGGTGTCGGTGATAGATAAGGAGGTTAGATCGCGGGCCTCGGGGGCGGAAGCGGTGGTGTTGGTTTTGCTACCTGGGGCTGGAGGAGCTGGCTTTGAGGTGTTGGCTGCATCAGCGGGCGGAGCTGGACCGCCGGCAGGAGGGGCAGGCGGGGCTGGCATTGTGCCGTTGCCTTTTGCAGCAGGGACTGGAGGGGCTGGACCACCGGCTGGCGGAGCAGGGGGTGCGGGGGGAGCAGGAGCACCGGCTGGAGGCGCCGCAGGAGCGGGCATTGTGATATTGGCAGCGTTAGGATCGGCGATTGTTATTATACTATTTACAATATTAATTTCATCGTCGATAAATATGAGTTTAAGGTATAGATGGGTAAGGAATGCTTACTCTCTTGTCTCCAACTGAATAGGAGAGGCGTGGATGGCCGTTGCCAAGATGGCGAGTGTGATGGCGGTAAATGAATATTGCATTTTGAAGTTATGGATTGGATATCGTTGGGGTATATGAGACGAACTAATCTTGTTTGATAATATGAGGAGAAGAAATACCAGTAAATCTAAGGAACGAAAATGAAATATCAAATTTCAAATTTTATTTTATTAAGGAAAGTAATTCAGCAGGACTAGCCGCGAAAAAAGAGGGAGTAATTAGTAAGGAGTGTATTAGAAAGTTTGGTTCGAATTTGTATAAATATCAGATGTGGTTCGTGGGAAGGTTATATACATATGTAGAAGAGACGGTGTTCAAGTGTAGATTCTCAAACAGTGCCAGAGATATAGAGATGTTTGAAAGTTTGAAAGTTTGATATAGGCTTCACGATCAGTGCTCAGCCACGCTAAATCATGCCGTGATTGTATAAGATGGAATTTCTACGGAGAATTAGTAGAGTAGTATACTTCAGACGGTTTTGAAATCGCCTAAGGAACTTGTGCACAAGTCATGGTTGGGCGAATGAGGTAAATTGTGGTGAGGTGAGGTACAGATGGTTTGGAGTAGTAGTCGCACTGCCTTCATTATGGAATTGAGAGCTAGTATCTAGAAAGCTTGTTTTGGAAGAGGGTCTAGCGAGTTCTTGAATGGATGCACAGACTGGAGGGGAAGCTAGAGCTATGAATTAAATGTACAGAGGGAGATGTAGATGATGCGAAGCGATAGCTGTGTATTGTATGAGAAGAACTCTAATTTGGATGTAGAAAACGCATCTCTTGCATGATCATCAAAGCGATTGTAGATCAACACAAACGATCATCATACCCAAGGAGACCGTTCGTGAAATTTCTTGTCGTCAGACCCGTTTTCTCTCCCTCCTCTGTTTCAACCCGGCTTTCCAATTCGGAACATCGGCAAAATACAAATATAATTCCATCAGAACATCAGGTCTAATAGCTTTGAAGATCTGATGGCACATGATGACATGTATCAAATCATGCTTAAATCTAGCTCTGCTTCAAATCTCTCGCCAAGGTTCACTCAGTGTGTGGTTTCATCTTTTTGATAGAGATTATGCTATGTGAAACATGTGATAAGACTCATTCTTGCTGTAAATGTTTGAGCTAGGAAAAGTTTGATAGGCTGGTATGATTCAATGATGAGTTGAATAGCTTAGAGGAGATTGGAGGGGGGTATTGTATGCTGGTTCCTGTGTCTCAATTTGGTAGTCCGGATGAGGTGAGGTTGTTGTTGTACTTTGATCGTGATAGGTTGATACGGTCATGTGACATGATCTAGATTTTCGAGGTCGGAGAGGTTCCATCCATGTACGGCGTGGCAACAAAAAAAGAAATAAAACGATGTGTGGGGGATCTTCAAATGAATGCATCTAGAATGCAAGAGAATCCGTTCCGAGTTTCCCGTACAGAGTTTATACCGACGCCATACAAGTCAATAATTGTTACCCTCGTGCAGCCGAGTCTTGGCCATTCAATAATCGGCTGGAAGGTTTGAAAGAAAGCTTGACAAAACGTATGGCCGGATTCGTTTCGCTGCATCCGACAGTTGTGCTGATAATTTCTGGGATTGTCATGGCTTTAGCCACTGCTACGTGATAGAATGCTACCTACATATGAACATGAGACTATTGATGCTCAGCGCCCTTGAACCATTAACACCCCCAAGCCATCAGTTCGAAGTGTAGGTTGAAACCCAGCATCAGCGGCGAGTGAGCGTGTCTTTGCATAAAGGGAAGTCTTCCGAGCTTTACGAGGGTTCATCAATATTTGAAAGCTGGCATGAGTATATTGTAGACATGGATCAAAGAGGTACGCCCCAGACCATATATATCGTTGTCAATATACCAAAATATGTAGTGTAACTACTAGGTGTGATTTCCCATCGCATTTTCCTTGAGACTTCATGTCTGTTTTGGTGTATCTCAGCGATTGGACGGCCAGTCCTGTGTCCTGACGGGCAATCGTACAATATGAATCAATAGGAAGCTCGAGATGTTGTGTTTCCAACAGAACCAAACTAGCGGGTCTAAACAGCCTTATTGACTCCTATCATGGTTCAGGATGCTAGCACGGTAATTGTCCCTTGTAGAACAGGGCCTATAGAAAAATAGTTCTCCGGTAAGATAATATCTCCACCCTGAAAGGGGCAGATCGATGGATACGGGATGAAACTTCGGGGAAATATTGAAAGAGGGGGCCCGGTCCGCAAGAGGAAGCTTCACCGCCACTAACTTGGTAGTATAGAACAGAGCTTTTCGAGTGTGGATAAATATCGCATCTTACGCGTTTGAAATTCGAAGAATCTTATCACGTTTTCGATCGTATTTCAAAATGTAAAGCTAATAAGTCGTCTAAAATTACAGATGCTAGTAAATCCTCAACGGCAGACGGAAGTTAGTTTCCAGTCCCGGGCCGGGGCCGAAATGTGACCCGAAAAGGGACAGGTCGGTCGGTAGTACCTAGGTAATCATGGGTGGATATTTGAGCCTATAAAATATCTACCTGGCTATGATCACACCTAAGCATATAGCAAAACCTTGAAATTATCGTCAATTTAAAATCTACAGGCCAATCTAGTAGTCCTGGATTTGGGCTGGATCAGGACTGCGGAATATCCCCTTAGTACTCCCATCCTACCCATCACAGAACTTGGTTTCAAAGCGGCACAAAAACTATCATGTTAGACCAGAATCTACTATCGGAGACCCCGCATTCAAACCAACAACTTCTCTTCTTCAACAGATACAATGGCAATGTTATCGATTCAGCATGAGACAACCGTACCTGAAAAAGGAAGACCATTGCGATTGCGATTGCCGCACCCCACTTCTCACTGAATCCCTGTATGTGTGTGTGTGTGTATTTTTTCTGTCACTTAGCTTACTGATGAACCTTCGCACACGTTGTTCCAGTTTGCGCGACACCATCTCCATCATTTGGATTCTGTTTCCATTTCATTCGTTTATTCGTTTAGAGAGTTCCCACTATTGGGCTGAAACTAGCGACAATTGATCAACACATCTCCGAACGATTTTGTTGGCATAAAGTTTATGCTCCCATGCAGGCCCGGTTCGCATGAATTGGAAATAGAAACAGGTCCTAGGTTTCCTGACTAGGTTTATTGAAAGGCTTGTTGGTGGTGGCATATTTGTTCGCTCAATTGCTCCATTGGGAGGGTATATTTGACAGGGGAATAGGTAAGGTTATCTGGGGTCGATTTTGAGGTGCGAAGACCCAACGTGTTTGTGGCCTTACCGCTTCTGTTGTGCGTCATATTTGGTCTATGCCGGGACAGATATTGCATGCGGTTTTTGTCCAGAGTTAAAAGTGAGTTCGTTCCTTGCATCCTTTGTATCCGTAAGCCCATGCGCATGTGTATATATTCCGTTGCGAACCCACATGAGTATGTGACTTTGCATAAGCTATTCGGATATCTACATTCAACGGTATATCTGAAATCTATCAAGCATGGATCAGAAAAATGATCTTGGGGTCATTGAGACTTCCTTGACTGACAATTCACAGAGTGTGAAAAAAAGTAGCAATATGGCTACCATCGAGAATGATGACGAGAGATTGTTGAACAGGATTGGTTATACTCAAGTTAGCCTCCTTTACTACCCCCACAATCAATGTGATGCCCACTAACTATAGCTAAGGACTTACGTCGACATTTTTCAAAGTGGTCTACGTTATCCTATGCGGTCTCCGTTCTTGGTGTTCTAGGATCCGTTCCTGCTACCTTTGGAAGCCCATTGAGTTTGGGTGGACCAGCAGCATCAGTATGGGCATGGTTCTTTGGTTCTGTAATGGCACAAATCATATCAAGTTCAGGTTAGAAATCTTCACTTTTGAATTGTAACTTGTACTGATATTCTTCAAGTATCTGAATTGGTCTCTGCATATCCGACGGCCGGTGGCATGTACTTTGTTACGAAGAATGTTGTCCCACCTGAACATGCGGCGATATGGAGCTGGATTATTGGATGGTGTAATTTACTTGGTCAAACTGCAGGTGTTGCCAGTGTGGGATATACCGTTTCTCAACTTGTTCTAGCAGCTGCGAGTATGAACTCTGATTTTGATGATGTCACCGGGACATATGCATATTCACCGTAAGTTGTCCAACAACGCTTGAAATTTCGTATATTCATAGTCCGATAGAACTGCACTACAAACTACTCTACTCTCATGGTTAATCCTTATGATAATGGGAGTAATCTGTTCCCTAACAACAAGACGTCTTCACCAAATCGTAACTTGGTTCATGCCAATTAACGTTATAGCTTCAATCGTCATATGCATCACTCTACTCATTCTAACTCCCAACAAACAATCTGCAACATGGGTCTTTACACATTTCACCAATGGGTCTGGATGGGGAACCCCATTTTCATTTTTCCTCTCCTTCCTATCAGTAGCATGGACCATGACTGATTATGACGGCACAACTCACATGTCGGAAGAAACTCACGATGCAGCAACCCGTGGACCAATGGCTATTCGATGGGCCGTTACCATTTCTGGAGTCGTAGGCTGGATGCTCACTGTTACTTTTTGTTTCTGTGCAACGGATCTTGAGGCTATCATTCATTCGCCGACAGGAATGCCCGCCGCGCAAATTTTTCTAAATGCGGCGGGCAAGAACGGTGGAACTGCAATGTGGTTTTTCGTTATTCTTGTTCAATTTTTCACGGGATGTTCGGCTATGCTTGCTGATACTAGAATGGCCTATGCTTTTGCGAGAGATGGAGCTCTTCCTTTCTCAAAGTAAGTTCCCGAGTTTTCAAATCTTTAAATGTGCCAGTTTTCTCACTGCGTCATTCCTTTTCGTGCCAACAAATACTAACAAGCAACTTGATAGTTTCTGGTCCAAAGTAAATCCCTACACCCACACCCCTCTTCACTCTGTCTGGCTCATCGTCCTCCTAACCTGCGCACTCAACACCATCGCCATCGGCAGCACCGCTACCATCGTCGCAATCTTCAACATCACAGCTCCTGCTCTCGACATGTCATATGCGGCAGTTATCGTAGCACGTAACATATACGCCTCGCGCGTGAAATTCATTCCCGGCCCATACACGCTTGGAATATGGCAAAAGCCACTCAATGCGATAGCATGTACTTGGGTGTTATTTATAAGTGTGGTTCTTATGTTCCCCACGGTGAGACCGGTTACGATGGAGAATATGAATTATGCGGTGGTAGTAGGCGCGGCTATTGCGGTGTTTAGTTTGGGGTGGTGGTGGGCTGGAGCGAGAAAGTATGTTATTCTTTCTTTTATCTTTACTGGGTTTTATATAGAGATGAATTGAAGATGATGCTAATATAATAATTCTAGGACATACACGGGACCGAAAACAAAAGATCTTATACAATCTATCACGTCGGAAGAAGGGATTTATGAATCGGATGAGAGACGGAATTATGGAAGTATTAATGATCGTTGAATGGTAGTGAGAATTAGATTTTGATAATGGCGTTTTGTTTTTAGGTCAAGGAGTTGGTGGTTTGAAAAGCATTTCTTTATTACTGGTTTGAATACAGGAGTCATGGTATCATTTCTCGTCGTATTCGAGATTTTCATCTCTTCATGTGGAGGAATGAAGTAGATAGATCTAGATTGATCATTAGACAAATATTCATTTCAAATTTATAATAGTTATTCATGAACACAAAAAAATACTTGTGTATTGATCAGACCAGGGACATAAAAGTCAAAAGCTCGTTCAACAACATTGAGAGATTAATGATTGATGAAGGAGATCAAAGCTCACCGGCAAGTTACGTTACGTTTCTCCCATCTCATTTATCATCGGTCAAGCTCCGGTCTTTCTCCCACCCCTTCCGGCTCTCAGACCTGACCCCCACGTAATGCGCACATCCTAATAAAGATCAACAAGATCAACTAATCAATCATACACGCCCCCCCAATCCCTTAATGCACCATTCCCGTATACGGAGGTTGAAAGGGTAAATATCATAAAATGCACCTAAATGTGTTTCTACTTTAGGCCTTTAAATAAATCAAATTATATCGCTAATTGAAAATTTATATAGTGAATTTGTAGATAATGAAAGTATTAATCAATCATATTTTATTTATATTTTATTCGAAATCATTAATTTTTTATTAAATTTTAATCTGAAATCCTATCTATAATCTATTTAGAATCTATGAAAAGCTTTAAATTCTACAAATACTATAAAATCATTAAAGTTAATAAAGAGTAAGTAAAAGCTTTAAACTTTAAATTTTAAAGGAGAACAGCTTAATATTTATTCGAATAGCTTAAAGCGGTAGTAGAATCTATAAACAATAAGATTTTACGAAGAGTGGGTTTTATATTAATTACTCTTACAACCTTCGTAGTTTCTCAAATCGCCTCTGCGTACAAAATGTCATTGCTATATCATTTCAGAAGCACTTGCTTACTACAGCAAAATCATCACACAGCTCTTGTAACTCAGTGGTAGAGTGGGCGATTGCAGTAACACTCTGATAGAAGTCGTTATTATCAAGCTATCGCCAAGTCGCTTGTTCGAACCAGGCCGGGAGCTCATTTTTGCAATTTTTGATTGATTGGGGAGAAATTAAGAAATGAAGAATGGATGGGTGTGATTTTTTGAGGAGGGGGGGATGCGTGGGTGTGGGGTAAGATTCTGGTTTTGGGTGTGTTTGTCTGTCTGTCCCCTTCCTGATTTACTGCGTACTTGATGATTGAGTAGTCACTCATTTTACTCGTCGATTGGTTTTCTTGTGGAATTTGAAGTCCTACTTCTATCTCAAATAATCTATATCGAGTCTAAAAAACTATTATTTAATTAATCATTTTCTTTATTCATGAACTCGGTGATTTCCAAGAAAGTTGTAGCGTCCCGATCGTGTATTTCTACAACCGACTCATGCTTTTCTAACTTTCGATAGCGAGCGCGAATTCAGATATTCCCCTTCATCTATCTATCTATGTCTCTATAGGTAGGTATACATACCCAGCTAGCTAGCCCCAAGTTATGTATGGAATCTTCTATCTGACTTGCGATTCTAACTCTTCCGAAAGAACTTCTCACTTTCTTGGATATGGGAAGTAGTATACTTGATTGACTCTTCCTGTCACAAACCCTTTCTCTACAAGTGCTACTAGGTATACCGCAAGTTATCTCTACCCCCTTGACCAGAACCCCGGTGGAGTTGTTCTCCAGCGATGAATGTCCCATCATTCTTGCTTTTGCAATGGCAAGGAAACTTACATTCCTCTGCCATTTACAAGATTACTTTAAATCTTACCCCTTCTCAGAATCGTGAAGACGTATCTCCTACAGTGCTGTCATCACTTCCATATTCCTAATCAAGAATCTGCTTTTCTCGCTTCATCCTTTCTCTTTCCCCCTCGTATATTCTCTCCCCTTTGCTGCATCAAATATCGATACCTAAGTAAGTATCTAAATCCACAATGATCATATTCATACTCAAATCTCAACGACCAATAACTTCCTTCTCCATCTTTCTGATCGCAAATCTGGCTTATATTACTTTGATTGTCTACATCATCGCATGTATCTGGGAAGTTATTATGATGCAATTCTTTATTCGGGTGCTTGAGCGCTGGTAGAATGAGTCATGAGATGATATACTTGAAGGGACAATGTGGGAATCTGATGTGGTGAATGTTTATTGGGAGATGTGGTAAAAGATTCATTGTGCTTAGTTATGGGAGAATAGATTGATGACCTCTTTGCACATTCAGATAAACTAAGAGAGCTTATATCATTCCTAACACCATCTCACAATCTGCCTATGCGTATACGTACAGCAAAAGAAAAGTCAAAACGTCGAAATTGGGGAAAATAAATTGGATCTGAAATTAGTGGTGGCTTTTGCATTCCGGAGCAAATCAATATATTTTGGTTATCTGTGCAAAGTCTATTGAGCTTCTGGACCGAGCATCGAAAGTAGGAAACCCTTCTTTCATCTACTCGCTCCTCGTTCCGTTATATCTAGCTCGGTGATATGCGTTGTCATCTCAGAGGTCGAGCAGCCATGGTTCGGCCTGTTTGAAGTCCCAAGCTCTGAGTCTGGCTACTAGAAGATGGGAATCTAAATCCTATCCTTTCTCCCGCAACCCGTTTCAGAAACTGAATCCGAACATCTCCGGAACCTAACGCACATGAGCATTCTGACGACAAACCCCCACATCACAACTGTCATCCGACCACCCCAAGCGAAGATCATCCATCCACCAAAGTTTCGGTTTACCAGCCACCGTCACATTCATGAGAAAATACGTCAAATCCCTAAAACTCGGTTCTAAATCCACAGTCGTCAAAACACAATTCGAAAGTTCAGGACACGCTGGAACATTGATAACTTGTTGAGTTACTTGCGAAGACATTTTAGAAACCACGTTGTACTTATATCCCGTAAATGTGAAATCACATGCAGGTCCCATGGAATCACAACCGAGCGATGCTCCGTAGAGATTGAAATCAAAACATCTAGTGAGTCCTTCATCGCCACTTCCTATTTGGCCTGAGAAACCGTGGTCTGCAGCGTTAGGACCCGTTTGTCTATTTGAGGAATTGGCTTCGAAGTTGGGGATGAATTCGAGGAGGAGTGGTTTTGAAGATGGGAGGAAGGGGTGAAGTTTTGGGGATGGGACGACGGTGAATCCGTCGGAGAAGAGAAATTGGTGGTATGGATTGAATAGTGGTTCGGGCTGGACGTTAGTGTCGCTTGCGTTGGAGACGGATAGTGGTGGGACGTCATCGAACTGTTGGGATGTTTGGTTAGTTGCTAAATGTTAAGCTGGGCGAAGATAGACTTACGGTCAATACAAAGTCTCCGCGCTCTCCGCAGTTTGTAGGTGTGGCTGAGGATATGATACTAGTGGACGTAGAGGATGTTGAATTGAAGAAAGTGACGGAACTTGGTCCTTTAACCACCGAAATGAAACTGGATATTGACGCGGCTGTAGATGATGGTATCGATTGGGATGTTGAAGTGGCATTGAATACTGGAGTCAAAATTGAGGCTGAAGTAGACTTGGAAAGTGATGAGGTGTAAGATGTTGTATTAAAGCCGGAAATTGAGATCGAGCCAGACGTTGAAGTCGAGCCAGAGGTTGAAGTATCTGTAGAAAATGAAGTATCCTTAGATAAAGAAATCGAGCTGGAGGTTGACGTCGGCATCGAAAATGAAGAGTCCGAAGTAGTCAGAGTGGCAGAAACATGACTGGAAGTTTGAGTGTTGGCTTGGGATCTTCCTGGTGCAGTCAAAGTAGTCAGAGACCCAACTGTAGCGGACGTAGATGTCTTGAACGACGACTCTAATGCTGTTTGCGACGTTGAGTTCCATCCACCAGCCTTAGAGGCAATACCGGTAAATATTCTACCTGAAGCTGATTGAGAGACAACAGATATAGGAGTGAAGACGGTATGAGTGGCAAGTATCGAGACTGACTTCGAGCTAGAGTTAGCATTCAGTGATGTTGAGATCTCAACACTACTTGGTAGAACAAACAACGGAGCTGAGGTAACTGGTTTAATACTGCTCTCGGAGGCTTTAGGTCTGGATGTGCTGAAGCTTGAGACAGAAGACAATTTTGAATTTGTGGTTGTAATGGTAGAAAGATTACTAGCCATAGAAGAGAGGTTGAAAGCTATTGTCGAGGTAGAAACAACTGTATTTTGAAGGGTTACCGATGCAAATGTGGAAGTACTGGAAATAATCGTTCCATTGGAAGATGCGTAATTTGTACTGGACTGCGAAGAAACAATTGCGCCGGTTGATGTAACGTTAGGTCTACTACTAACGGTCGCTGTTGGAAGTTGAGTTGAGAAGGGAACAAAAGTTGTTTTTGTGGTGGTTAATGTAAATACAACATTACTGCTAGACGCCGGCTGACTTTTGACCGATGAAGGTGATGGGGAGGTAGTCGATAAAGGAGTAGTCGTTTCTGTTGACAAAATAACAGGCTCACTGGTAGATACTGATTTAGTATTGGTTATCATTAAAGATGATTGCGGCGATGGCAGAGTTGACGAGGGGACTACCGTAGCTGTTGATATAATCACAGACTCACTGTTGGAGGATTTCGTCGAAACATATGGAGCCGAGGGAGCCGGAGATGGGGTAGTTGAAAGAGGTACAACGGTTGCGGTGGATATAATCACAACTTCACTGCTAGAGGTCAATGTAGATACGGGAGGAGGTGAAATTGATAAGGGAACCACAGTTATAGCACTCGTAATGACAACGAAAGATTGACTTGGAGCGCTAGTTGGCGTTTGTCCATTCAACCAGCTAGTTGTACCTTTGTCGACTATGAAGAAAAAGACGTCACTGGATGGCCGAGGGGTTTGTCTTGCTTCAGCGGCGGTCTCGGAAGATTCAGGAAATTTGGATGATTGAGAAGTTTCGATATCCCATGTTGATTTCGAAAATCCCACTGAAGAATGGGTGGAAACGGTAGGTGTGACATAGAGAGGGCGAGACGTATCTGCAGAAACTTGTGCCATACGATTGCTGGCTACAGCAGTTGGAAATGGAGCAGGAGTTTCAGAACAAGAGGCGTAGACAGTGACGGTAGACTCGATCGAACCATATTGAGGAGCTGCGCCAGCAGTTCCACATATGGCCCATATTGCGATGAGGAAACTCAAAATCATGTTGTGATATTTCCTAAATAAATTGTGATTCTGATTGTGTTGAGAGTAAATGAGTGACGAAAAGAAAGTTGTTGTTTTTTTCGAAGGTTGAGGGGGGTAAAAAATTAAAACTCATCTCTTAATTTGCGTGTTCGTTGCCGCAGTGAATTTGAAGCACGGCGGTATATCCCGCTCAGTAGTCAATTTTAATCAAGTCATTGAGACCTGTTAAGCTCATCCTGTGTGCCAATGTTCCTCACTTTCATGAACAATCAAAAGCTGAATTCGACCTCAATCCAACGGGACTAACAATGGTAATAGACCCAAGTAGATACATAGCCTTTTCGCCCTTTATTAGCCATATATCACTTCAATGACCTCTCAAGATAATTAGTTACGGATATCATTTGATCCTCAACTCACAATAGAAAAATAAGCAGAAGTGGGCGGCCCAGATCCCAAGCCAACTTCCTGTGTCAGTCAACAGGACACTTGACACTCAAAGCCCAAGACTTAAAAGTCTGAACGTTCTTTTATCGAAGATTCCTATACCATTAGACATGGACGGAAGTTGATACTTAACTTATCAATAATCATAAGTCAAACACGCCGCAGAGTAGTAAGGCCTCTTTATGATGTGCATATCGAAGCACACAGCATCGATGGCTTTCAGTGAATGATGACGGGGAAATGCGAACGTGTGCTTGTTGTATAAAGCTTCTTGTAGAAGACTTTGCGTCTCTTATAGATTAGTGTATGAGAGTTGCTAGTTCCTCTATTCAATACTCCATTCTCATAAGAGTGGCAGAACGCAGCAGCCCCGAGAACATATCCCTGCGCTTGGGTTCAGAATTCAAGCCTTTTGATAACTTGAGAGATTCAACAGTTGCAAGCAAAGCATCCACATGACAACGAGACAAGACTCTCAGACTTGCCTTAATCTCAATGGACCCTCTCAAGCGAGACTAAGAGCAGAAGTTTCTTGAATATACGATCAGCTTATTGAACGTTATCGAGAACGAAGTTCTACTACAATATAAGTATTCTATATCATACCAGCACTCGAATCCGAATTCCTAAGTTAAGGAAAACTCATCAATGAATAACCTCCAAAGACCAAAAGATCAGATCCTCTAATTCTCACCTTAAATATCCCCCATGGACTGCATCCCCTCTCACGGTGATGTATCGGATTCGACCTAAACCTTTTCCTTACACGTCTTCCCATGATTCCAAAGCCGCCACTAGTCTATATTTTCATAAAAATCTATCTGTAGATCATCCACGACCAGACTTAAAGCTTTCTCTAATCATTCCCTCTTCAAGATCACCAGTTCAAATCCCAACCTCACAGAAATCAATTATCCCGTTCCAATACACTTGCCTATTCATCATACCTCATACCTCATACCTCATTACTCATCCCACAAGCTCCAACTTCCAATCTCCCCTTCTCATTCCCCCCCTCTCCTCTTCCTTCCCTACCCTCTTCCTCAAACCTTCCCATTCCATCCTCCCATCCATGCATCCAAACCCTCCAAAATCCCCCACGTCGTCTCCCGAGGTCACCCCAAACTCCAGCCACACCCGCCACATAATTTACGCCACACCCGTCCCTCCCAAACCCCCGGCCGCCCCAAACACCACCTGTTTCAACTCATCCTATAAAAAACTCCCATACCTTCCTCCCCCCTTTTTAATATATACACATATGCACAACATATACGACGCAGCTAAGTGCCACTAGTCTGATCTACCGTCTGAGGTATGTAGTACCGAAGCGTCGGGCGTTTTATCTTACCCATGTTGTGAGATAGGATGACAGGTTTTTGATTCTATGTGGATGTTCAGGTTGTTCTCCTATTCAGAATATTCAGATGGGGTATGGTAACTGATTGAAGGAATGAGTTTCGACAGTTTTGCTTGTGAAAATTTCTTTTTGATATTACATTCGTGACACTCAGCATCCAATTACACTACAATATAATAAATAAACAAATAGGATATCCATCAGGTATGACATTCGTAAACAATTCCTCGACTCAGCTTATCGCATCAAATACTCGATGTGTATTCCCATCAAAGTATAGATCATTCATCCGCTCACTCATTCATCGCAGGGTACCAAAACCCAATGCCTCTGCCCCGCGAAAGAAAATAATGTAAAAAAGAGGAGAAGGAAATAAAACACCTTTCCCTTCTACCCAGTGCCCAAGCCCTTGCTTTACTTTACCTGTATTAATGATTTTGACTCGTGCTTAAGTATCTTCGTCCTTTTTCTCGCTCATAAGTATCAAACATCTTGTACCTCCCAGATTAGACAAGAAATTTATGCAATAAATTCAAGTCTCGAGCGACGTCTCTTTCCATCCTGTCCTCCGCTCCCTCCTTGTGTATTGGTATCGCCATTCTTTCCACCCTGTCCCTTGTTCCCACCCTGTGCATTCGCTGTACTAGTTGCCTTTGCAGAAGTACTCGCCTTACTGGTTGCTTTTGCAGCTTTGCTCGTAGCACTAGCTGCATTAGCATTTCCTTTGGCAGCTGAAGCCGAGCTTGCCACGGAGTTGTTGGGTCCAGCAGCCGCTGCACTTGCCGCCAAAGCAGCAGCAGCTTGACCACCAGATCCATCATTCGAAGCTGCATTTGCGGTAGTTCCTGAACCAGTAACTACGAATTTAGTGCAGTCATCTGCGGTACCGCGCTGAGCGACAGGCATGATAACAGGCTGATGATTGGATGAAGAAGCCATTGTGCATACACGGTAGTTTCCAGCCGGGAGACCACCGGTCACGACAGCGGAAAGAAGACCATTACCATCTCCTGCGTCGTTGATACCTTTGAAGAAGGCAAATTGGGTAGCGTCAAGAGCTTTCGTGGGGTTCAAAGAGCTACCGAGATCTTGGACAGTGACGTGGGTGTGGCCAATTACTTTACCCCCGGAGAGATCTTGGGGTGCAGCGAAGTAGGTGGAATCGGCGTTGGTGAAGGAACCGGCGACGATATTTGACATTTGAACTGTGATATTGAAGGTGGTGTCTGACGGGATGCCTTTTCCGCCTGTTGGGGGATTAATGATGGTTGAAGAGACCATGGCCGTCTTGGCGGGAAGCTTTCCCATTGCTATTTATGATTAGATTCGTGTCGATTAGATATAGTCCACAGATAACTTACGAATACCGTTACATGATCCTGTGGTAACTTGTAGACCATTTGTCAAAGTTTCACCAGAGCAAAAGTTGATAAAGTTGTTCTTCGACGTTGCTGATTTCGCTTGCCCAACTTCCGCCGCACCAATTTCTCCTGAACCATCGGCGAATGAACCGCTCTGAATAGCATCTGATGCTAATGTAAGGGATGCATCGTTTCCACTGGCAGCTGTAGCAGCGTCTTTTGTCCCCTGTTGCGGTGATGGAATTGCCGCTACAACGCTTATCAATGCAGCTACACTTGCAATTTTGCTGAAATACATTGTTTTGATTTGAAATTTGGAGTTATAAGTATAAATTATAACGTAGTATGAGTGAATGAAGACCGTCGAGGTGTGTGGGATCGTGAAAATTAGATACACGGTCAACGCGATCTACTTGACTGGCAAGATAGAATAGAAGTAAATTAAAAGAGAGAAGTTGTAAAAGAGAGGAACCCGCCAAATAATTTTGAACAGAAAGAGAAGAAGATATTGCTTGTGAGGAGGTTGGACGAAAAGAAGAAGACGAAGCGTCTATACTTATTCTTATTTCTTGGCATTGTGGCATCCGTGGATGTAGTGTAACTTTAAGTGGATCAAGAAAAGGATAGACAGAAGTGGTCATAATTCTGCTCTGTAAATTGGCAATGGAGATCTCGTTGTTGCATAAGAAGCGATGAAACTAGACATGAGATCGAAGTTGTCGCAGCGCCTGGAGTACCTGTCATCTGAAGAGAGTGAAGCGAGTATGTACAAATATCAGACGAGGGTTCTAATCTGGGTCTAATCTGATCTCAACTGAGTCGTGAACATGGGCTAGCTTGCTTGAAGTGGGATGGAATGGGATGGAATGGGATGAAATGGGAGAAATATAGATACGGAGGTTGGCTGTGTTAGGGCTGATTGCAAACCGTTGATGTCTGAAGTGCCAGGGTGATAAAACTCGCCAACCCGCCGACAACCATGAAAATTTCAGCCTACCAAGACTCCAATTGATGTCTAACCGGATCATCGAAACCATTAGGAATAAAAGGAGGTTACGATGTGTTGAATTGAACAAGGGCAATGGTATGATATATTGTAAATGGCAATCGAGACGTTTAGAATCATGGTGCTGATAGCAATGATTTGAAATGTGTAGTCCTCGGTAGTATGTTATGGATCTGATGTCGTCTGAAAGAAGAGTTGAAGAGTGAAAGAGGTGAAGGGAAGGAGTGAAGATTGAAGGAAGAGTGAAGAATGATTTGGATAGTGGATTTTCTAATTTGTACAGGGTCCAACTGGCCCTGAAATTGGCCCTTGCTTCACTACTACTATCACTACTATAATTAGAGTAATTAAAGTTTGGCTCAAACAAGAAATGCAAGTACACTTGAACACAACATCTACAGCATTTAGAACCTCAAATGGCTTTTTTTTTGATCTCTCAATTCACACAATACTCGGAGTCTCGAATGTTTTTCTGTATCACTAGATCATAATGCAATCATTACATCTCTACAACCTTTACATCAATCGCCAAAAGAAAGCCTTCACAATCTTGAACTAAGACTCCGCAAACTAAGATATCAGATGAAGCTGCCAATCGAACTATGCTGGGGGACTGAGCCTCCTCAACAGTTTACATCCGAGCATCTTAGAGTTTGAAGTTTCAGACACTGAGGATCATAATGATAAGATATCGGATTATTGATCGGAAGTAAGGTTAAAGCTTTATTCTCTGGCCGCTACGTTGTATCAACAAGCCGAAAGATTGCTTGCAATACATTGAGTCTTAGCATCAGGATCCGACAACATGGGGATAACTTAAGTCAAGTCAATCAATCAATCACGCACCATGCACCAAGTCAGGAAATATATCCCGCAGTCAAAGTTTGTCTCGCGCAAGACGCCTTTTGATGCTCTATTGATCCCTTCAAGACTATCTGGAGCAACGGTAACGTCGATTTTGCCACGAATCTCTTTTGCTCATCCAAAGGGTCACCCTCATGTATACACCTCTTCCACTTTTCAAACCCCTTTATTTGGCATCATCAGAGAACATTTTGACGTCATGAAATGTTCCACTATTCAATTATCATTTCTATTGCATTGACTATTACCGTTTTGAACGGTAGAATATTGGCAGCTGTCATCCGAGTTAGCAAGTTTTCATTTTGTTCTTGTCTCAGGTCGTGTTACAGAGATCCGATGAGGCTCATTTATTTCCTGGATGCTTATTATACACTGACCCCGAACCAAGCTTCTTCATCGTTGTTCCCCGTCTATTTTCAAGCACATTATAACAACCTAATCCTTAGCATCAGTTTGTCTTGGATCGATTTTTATCATTTGTTCTGTGAGCGCAGATACGGTACTCGTAGAACGAGTTCAGGTTAGGGATCGTGGTGTTTGAATCATCTTCAGGTCAAAATTTACACTCGATGAATAAATTGACAACTTGAAAGGATTGCCATCGGCTAAATGTTACTTTTCCCATCAGACCAATGTAAAACTCCATCTCTCTACCCCTTACCCTCCTTTCAAACATCATCAATGACAGTTGCACCTTTATCTTCGCCTTTAGAATAATTGACCGAATGCAGTCATCAAGCTCACCAATCGCCTTCTCAACATCTTCACAACGTTTTTCACAAAACAAAACGGACGATAGGTCGCAATGACCATAAATCTCATGAAACTATAACTTACAGTTCACTGCCCTTGGCGTGGTTCTACCGAAAATTGCAAGATTCAACTCATTGAATAGGTTGATCTTGATGGACCAAGGATGGAAGCTTGGCCATATAAAGCTCACTTACTTCCATATTATGTATCGAACAAAGGAATGCTATCAAAAGCAAGTCGTCATTCAGATTGTGTTTTTGATAGAAAACACAGTCGAAAATGTATCATGGTGTACTTGATGGACCTGCGTGTCTTTAGCTTTCCGCGGATTGGTGTTCCATACAACCATTATACAGCACATGGTTGCTATTAATTCAATGAAGCAACATCAAATTGCGGTGAAAACCTAGAGAATAGCCTCAACCCTATATTTCTTTATCGATGAAGAAGACATGGGCATGGCTGTTATGGTGGGGTCGGGCGGAGGTTCTACGGCAAAGACAGGTGGCACAGAGGGATAGGGAAAAGGTAAAGAGGCCATTGCCAAGTGCAAACCCACCATTTTATCGTGGATTCAATAGCGTAGGCACACGAGCTATGATCTCTGATGCCCGAAGGAGTTCCGGTGGTTGTACGACTGGCTGAAGATGACCCGAGAAATTGGAATGGTGAGCATTGTCAAAGTCCCCGAAGTCGATTTTTGAGATCACCGTGGGGCGGATGCGATCAGGGTTGGTGCCTTGCATATTATGCATATTAACGTGTGGTGCACTGGTGCGTGATGTATTTAGCTTGTGCTAATACTGCTCTCTCCATGGCAGCTCGAGGGTAGTAATGGGAATCTACTCACAAGATCTCGAGATAATAACACATCTTGAGTTCGGACAATGACGATTCCGGACACAGTGCAACTTAGTGAAAGACATCTATGGCGAGAAAGTATCACTATGACCACCCTTTCGCCGAAATTTGCCCATGGTACAATCTCATCTCATCTTGTTGAGGCTCAGTATGAGGGGCATGCCTGTCGTGTGCTACCGATTTTTCTACGGCGTTGCTCTACCAAGACATGGCTCGTGCAATGATAACCTCTTCAACATGAAAGAGATTGTATGTATACAATTTTGAGAACAATGTCAAGGGAACATGAAGAATACACAAAGGAGAGGACATTGTCCGAATTGTCCGATGTTCATGGTATTACATTGTTCGAATTTTCTTTCGTTTAATAGGCTCAACAGGTGCATATGTTATCAGCGCTAGCCCTGGTCCCATAACTTTGCTATTCAGTGAACTTGTGTGTGGCACAGCACTGACTGATGTTTTCGAGATGATGACCTTTTTCTACTCGTAACTTTTTCCTTCTATCCTTCGACCTCTTCCCTCTAATAAACTCTCTCTCTCTCTCTCCCTCCCATACCCACACACACACACATACATTCATCCCACTTTTGCAGTCGAATATAAATTTATTTCTTAGGATTTATTCACGAACGAGCCAACCAACCTTCTGTACCCAAAACAACTGTACAACAAATTCGATTCTGGATTCTCTTCTAAAGACTTTGTTGGCATATATATTTATTTCCTTTTACAAGAAGTACTACATACTTTGACACCATTCTTTCCATCCACCCGCTGCGAAGAATCAACTTCTAGACCACCAAATCAAAAGCACCCAATATTAGTATGCGAGCACCTCACAAATCTGTTACACCTGCATCGAAACTATATTAATAAAGCGCAAATAGGTGCAATGTCTTCTCCAGAACCAAGAGTCGTAAAGCGACCAAGTAAGATTCTTCTTTCCTCCTTCAATTTTGTTCTCTTATCTTCAATCGCGTCCTCTTGAAATTTTACAATAGGCAATTTCCTTCCCGCACCAATTCAGCGGGTCGCGCCGCTCTAAAGCCATAGAAAAAAAAACTTTTCAATCAATTGTTGAATTTTACCACTCTTATTATTATTCCTTTAAAATCGCACAGTTATTCAAATCATTCACCAATCCATCGATACAGCCATACAACGATACATCTTTTTCTTACAATTTACAATCTCTTTTGGAAGCATTCAACATTACTTCTGCCATCCCATCCACTGACATTTATTCACAATGGCAGGAACTCAATCAGAACCTCCTCCAAGTCTCCCTCAAGTCATCGCAGAACAGCATGTTCCAGTACCTTCAACCGATAAAGATTCGCAAAGATTGATTGTCGTTCTCTCTAATGCCAGTCTCGAAACTTATAAACAATCCTCCGGTGGTGGAAGACCCGGCGCTCGTCCCGCGGAGGAAAAATACTCTCTTCTCAACAGTGATGAGCACATTGGTATTATGCGCAAGATGAATCGAGACATCAGTGATGCCCGACCTGATATTACACATCAGGTTCGTATATAATCAGGAAAATGATCTGTCAATTCAATACTGACCTATCGCAGTGTCTCCTCACCCTCCTCGACTCGCCGATCAATAAAGCCGGCCGACTTCAAATCTACATTCATACCGCCAAGGGAGTTCTCATTGAGGTCAGCCCAACGGTCCGAATTCCACGTACCTTTAAGCGTTTTGCCGGTCTGATGGTTCAACTCTTACACCGACTCTCCATCCGATCTGTCAACTCTCAAGAAAAACTCCTCAAGGTTATTACGAACCCGATCACCGATCACTTACCTCCCAATTGCCGAAAAGTTACATTGAGTTTCGAATCACAATTGGTCCGTGTTCGGGATTATGTGGAGACATTGGAGCCGAAGGAGAGTATTTGTGTATTTGTTGGTGCCATGGCAAAGGGAACAGACAACTTTGCAGATGATCTAGTGGATGAGAAGATCTCCATTAGTAACTACAGTCTTTCTGCAAGTGTGGCATGCAGCAAATTCTGCCACGCTGCAGAGGATGCATGGGATATTATTTAGACTATTCCACTGTCTTTCTCATCCCACAAAAATTTCCGACGAACACATTCGACAGTATACGAATGGAGGAACGGAGCACAAAAGACCGCAGGGTTGTGAATGGTATGAGAGAATGGGCATTGGAGGTTTGGTCGATATGAAAAGGTGAAAGCGGGACCATTAAGCAGATTCAACGATAACAACATCGTTCGATATGCTTGTGGTCGCCGGGCTTGGGTATCTGTGTTCTCTGTCTCTGTTTTTACAACCAAAACAAAAGGCGTTCAACATTAGATCCAAGACGCTTTAGTCGTCTTCGTGGAATACTTCAACTTGGTCCACATCTCTTTTGTCTTTTCTAGTATCATTTTACATCCACTTTAGAGCTTAGTAGCTACTGCACGCCGGATGACGATAAGTATTTCCCCTTTTCAGCATACATACCTTTGGCGTCGAATTTTGCATTCAGCTTCCTCGTCGAGCTAGCTAAATTGCAAGCAGTCAAATTGGCATGGGAAATTGGTTCATGCTGCTAGGTGGCAGACACTACCGCGAGTCATTCGATGACAGCGGATAGCTTCATGTACAAAACTACTATACTGGTCAATGAAAGGGAAATTCTCCAAAATTTGAACAAATCACAATGCGTGAAGTTAATCCCTCTGTCGCATGCCCCATTCTTCTTGCTCATTAGCCTGCAACTTAACAAGAACGGTCTTCGCGTGATCAAGAATGGGATAACGGTTAACCCGCCTTGAAATAAAGTACAACAAAACATTTATACTTTTTCCATGCAGGTTCTAGATTTGGGTCTGCGCAATCGAGATGGAAATGGAAACGGAAGTGGAAAAATATAGATCTTGAATTAATCTCCGTATAGTTCATTGGGTATTTTCCTGTGGCCTTGAGTTGACATATCAGAAAATCGTAACAGCAAATGGAGTCTTCTAACCTCGGAAGTGAAGCAGCTGCTCGTTTCCAACAAAATATGGGGATGAAAGACTCAAGTATGGTTCAGGTTGTCCTATTTGCTAATCATGGCAGCATGGCATGATCTCGAAACCAATCGCTTCTGATTTGAGGCGATGCAATACCGGTGATCCTGGTCTAGAGCGGTCGCATAAAATGGTAGGATGTTGGTAATACTTGGTACAAGACCAACAAGATTTCGTATGGATGGACGGGAGATCTCCGTAGGAGGCCGGAGACGTGGCATGCGGAGAGGGGAGAGGGGGTTTGGTGATGCAGCGTGCAAGTCTTCTTTATGGTTTACGATGCGGGTTATGAACGGTAGGAACGGTAGGCATGATATAGGTACAGGTACAGGTACAGGATCCTGCATCGGGATGATGATTACTTTTTAGTTAGTCAGGTAGAGAGATTATAGACTTGTTGAAGATGATGCAGTAGAAGAAGTGATAACTATATGATGGCGACGAAATTTGACATAAGTTAATTGGGCGACTTTATATGTCAATCAAATCACAGTTCTCTTTTCGAAATTCTATATCAATTCAATTGATGGAGATGGAGATTTTGGAATTGAAAATTATGTGAATCTTTTTAAACTGCTTTTAATTTTACTGATAGTTCAGATTCTCGACTACAGTACTATATTATTTTTGATTGATGCTGTTTATCGTCCTGTGGTATTGAGAGATACAGACATGACATTGGGATATGTATGATATGGGTGTTTTCAATCGGGTCTGCCATTGGGTCTGCCATTGGGTGTGTTTTGTATTTTGTATTTTGTGTGCAATTTTATCCGTCGACCCTAACATTACCAGCCAGGTATGATCTATGTATGGTTGGGCTCATTTCCTTGCCAGGCCAGGCACAAAGAATCGGCCACGATTACGCATAAGAATTTAGGTGAGTGAGTGGCTCGAAACTCGAGACTCTCGAGACCCAAGAGTGGTCAAAAATGCTTGGACAGCATTGATGGAATCGATGGAGTTCAAAGTTCAGTTCTTGACATGATCAAATCACCCCCCAAAAACTTGTTCGCTACGCCTGGCTCGCTGGCTGAAAAAGTAAAAAAAAAGTTGTGGGGATGTGCTGTAGTGTCGAACAAGTATACATGGGTTTGATTTGCTTGAATTGCATCGGTCTATTGATCCATTCATTCGAGGGATTAGTATGAGGCGACAACTGTCAAAACTAGATAATGTTCTCCATTCTCTTGCAGTATGCATACATACTATTCACTCCGGACTCAAAAGTTCAACACCACACATACCGATGCATAAACTTAATGCGTCGACAATACTTCTCTTTGGATTCCTCTTTTCTTCTTCCTCTTAATGTTTATTCATCAATTCAAAGTTTAAGATAAAGTTACACATAATACTTATCTACATTCCAAATAGTTATCAGTTTCTTTTGAAAAGTTTGGGAGATTCTTTTAACGAGTAATTCGGTGCACAGTACGAATTTTGATATCTCGTTAAATCAGTCAAGTCACCTATTATATACATATCCATATATATATATTTACATTTACATTTACACTTACACATCTATCTACCTTTGCAGAATTCCTTATTAAATTCGTTTCATAATTCAAAGGACCCATTTTTCCATCTCATAGTCAAATTCCCATCGCGGTAGATTTTCGTTTGGTACAGAGAATACCCAGTACCTACAGATATTACTTGTCAAGTGTACCTACCTCCTGCCTACTTCTTTACCGCATTTTCCCAACCTCCGAAACTTATCAAACGCCAACACTGCCTTCTTGCGAATCTTGCATCACCACGCACCCATCTTCAGCTATTTTCATCAACACTCAATCCTTTTGTCTCACTCTCTAACCTCCGGAGGGTTTGTTTGTGCTTCCCGGCGTGGATCTTTTCTGCATCATCAGTGTAATACGACTTAATTCAACGATCGACCTTAATCTATCGATCTAACGACAGAAACGATTGACAAGTTAAATCGTCAACAATCGTCGCTTGTGTGTTTCATATTCTGGGACTCGCTGGATGAAGTAAATGTGCATGCACACACGAGTTCACCTCATCTCATCTGACCGCCTTTATATCCACAACTACATAGGTAGTTAGCAGATCAAGCGGAGCAACTAGGAACAAGCAAGACCAAACCGGAGTCACATTTTTTAGAACTTATCAAGGTCGTCATTCCATCTTCATCGGATGTTCCTTCTTCTCGGCATAATTTTGGGCATTATTTGAAATACATACATTCTCCGTTCCCCTCTCACCGTTAACACGGTACACCGTCCACGCCACCTCGATTCGAGTCATTCATCTTTACTTTAATTTGGGAATATACATACATATACACACATACGTACGCATTCGCTCGACTTTTCACAAGTATAAGAAAATACATTGCATATTAGATTCCGAAATCAGCACAATTATCCTGAACACACAACACAAAGAACGAAACATAAATCCAAATTATACATCAGACGCCATAGCCGAAGATGGCTTCCCGCGGTCGAGAATCCTCCCGTCCTCCAACCATAGTCACAGCTGCTACTGAAAAAGAAGCTCGTCGTGTTCTGCAATGGCAAGAGGAAGTTGCCAGAAGTACAGCTGGTAGTTCCACTTCCCCTACTTCAGACGAAGCATACCGTGCTGTGGCTCCAAGTCACGTTTCCAGAGCACCTGCCCGAACACAAGTTTCCCATGCTCCTCAATCTCAAGCTCCAGAACATCCACCTTTTCGAAGAGCAGAAACTTTCCCCAGAGTCATGAGGAGAGAAACTTATGCAGGTCATGGACATCCGGGTACACAAGTCAGTATCCGCAGAGATACTCATCATGACGAGGAGCAAACCGTCTACGTAGACGAGGTAGAACGAGCTGAGCAAGAGAAAGAAAAAGAGAAGAGCGGTGGTCTCTTCGGCATGACCAATAAAGCTCTCGTAGGTACTTTTCTTGGCGCGGCTGCAGGCGCTGCATTCGCATATGCAATGGTCAAGAGCGAAGACCCCGAATACGAATTAGAACCAGAGCGTAAACCGATGCCGGGTCTCAGAAGAAGCTACACCACCGGCCATGCGGAAACCATCGCAAGTAGCACGAAAGGTTCTTCAGTCGGAGGCCCAGAACGCAGATATAGAGTTATTGAAGCGCCGCATGCTCCTATGCCTCCCCCTGCCTCTAGTTACTCGCGTATCCAACGTGATCGCGAGCGCGAGAGAGAGGGTGTGTTAAGTCCAATCGAAGAACGTAGTTACTACAGCTCTGCCGCACCTTCAAACACAGGCACGAAAATCCGTCCTCGTAACACAGCGGATCAAGGAGAAGGTTCGAATGCCGGGACCGCAAGACCACCCACCGCAATTAACATCCGAGACAAAGCCCAAAGCATCGCACCCACCAAAGTAAGCGAGCGAACCAGCACCGTCAAAGCAGTCAGTCGTGCCCCCACCCAAATCTCGCGCGCCCCCAAAAGTCAAGTCAGCGTGCGCGAATCCGAATACGAGTACGGACCTGCTCCGACTCAAGTTTCTGCAGCTCCTACGCGCTATTCTCAAGCGCCTAGAGGCGATGATGCAAAAAGTAAGATCAGTCATACACATACTACGATTAAATTCTCACCGTCGAAAGTAGGCGCGAGCTCGCGAGAACGCATTCCCCGGTCCGAAGCGACGTGGGAGCGAGACGATGTATCGGTTAGTGCGGTGAGCGAACGCAGTCGCGCGAGAGATGTGCCGCTTCCGGCATCGACGGTGGTGAGTGCGAGGTATGGTGGTGGGTATCGGGAACAGGGAGGTGGGTATACGCATGCGGGGGATCGGGAGAGGGATGCGGAGAGGAGGGGTGAGAGGGATGGGAATGATAGGAAGAGTTGTTTTGATAGGGGAGTGGATGAGGATGGGAAGAGCTATTTTAATCCGCGGGGGGCGATGAGCGTCGCGCCTTCGGATAGTGTGAGTAGTGTGGGGAGTAAGAGGGAGAGGATTGAGAGGTTGAGGGGGAGATTGGAGAGGGATTTGAGGGTTTAGTTTGGGTGGTGCTGATCTTCTCGTCTTTTGGCATCTATATCTCTATCTCTCTACATGGAGATATACTCGGGTCCGGCTGTTTCAACTCTTTTACCTTTTTTTTTTTTACTTTTTAAAGTTCTTCACATTGTTTATCTTGTCCATCTGTCTTTCTACATAGTTGGTTATTGGTCCTGTTCTGATATTTGTATCTTTTTTATCGTTTGTTTTTATTCCGCGTCGCATTCGTTCGCTTTTTTCTTGTACGGTTGAATGGATGGATGGTATCCTTGGAGCGGGGATTTAATTGTTTGTGAATGAAAAAATTGGATGGATGGTAGGATAGTGGGATAGTGGGATGATGGGATGACGAAATGGTGCGATGAATATATGAATATATAAATGAATGAATGAATAAAAAAATTGATCAAGGGATGTATTTTGTTTGGTTGGATTTGTTTGTGATGAATTTCTATGCTGTTCTTGGTTGGGGTTGGTATGGTGTGGTAGAGGGGTGGCGTATTGATGGGATCGGAGGGCGAATGTGAGGATTCGTGGGATTCGATGTGTTTTCTTGTAGCAGGGGCTACTTTGTCTCTTGAGATTGATCCGAGAACGAACTCGGGGTATGAGTATGTATGGATACTATCGGAATGCTGATAAGAGTGTGGTTAATTTTAGTCAAGCGAGTCTGATGTGTGGGAAGTGGAGTGTGGAGGTATGTAGTGGTATTTGTATATATCTGTATGGTTTTATTTGTCTCTCGCTGCCGTATCTGTTACTTGCACGTAGGATCTTTTGGGGGTTGGGGGAAGGAGGGGCGCGCGGGTGTGGTGCGAGAATGAGTGGGTTTGGTGAGCTTGATAATATGTGTCTTACCTTACGACGACTTCTCGGGCATCAGCGTTCTTTACTTGAGAGCCTGTCTACATTGCTACCCCCTAGAAGATTGTACATCGTGATGTTGGGATTCAGATGCTTCGTGCATTTTGAATGGCTCCGGGGTTGATTTGCGGGAGATGCAGGTTTGTCATGCTTGTTCTACACTTGGTTTTTGTCGCGAGGTCGCATTCAATCATCTTTGCGTGAACTTCCTAGATTGTTGATTGTGGGCTTGTGGGAAGCGGAGTCTTCTTTTCTTTCAGATCTGGATCGTAAGTGGGTCGTGAGCGAGCTTGAAGTTCAGGACGGACCTGATATTGAGTAGATTCTTTTGATGGTGATAGTAATGGTGATGGCGCTTTTCTTGTTCTTGTGTCTGCTCATCGATAGCTGTTCGTCAATATCTGTTCGCATAATCACTGCTGGAGAAGTATTGTAAAGATAGTGGTCTGCGTATTTCATCGTGGTCAATGAATTGTTCAATTTTGACGCTATTCAGAGATTGTAGTTGAATTCCCCTTCCATCTTTTTATATAGAGCTATTCGCGATTGGGTGTAGTTTACCCCAGATACTATTCCATTCCGGGGTTAGTGTAACCTATATTAGTCTGTCGAGTCTTGACGGTAGCTTGCACTATTCGTATACATCGATTCTCCATAATGTTGTCTCAATTTATCTTTACTATCATCCATCTCGAGTCTCACGTCCCCACCATTGCATTTACCTTTTGGGTATTCATTCCAAGTCTTATGCAATTGCTTGTATGTTTCGTGAAACAGAAACGTCGTTACCCCGCAGAGCTTACCCCCCGTCTCGATTTTTATTGGACCTTGACATGCTCATATCATAAACATGATCCACTTCTTAATCCATCATCTGTCCATTACTTCACGTCTGTTCATAAAATGCCCCCAACTTTCCTCAAGACGCTCAACATGCTCTGCAAAGTGTGTGATCGCTTGAATGTAACCGACTTGCTCAAGCGGGCAAAGGCCAAGAGTTGTAAGGCTTTCGGGCCCGCGTACGACCTATATTTCCAGCATCACAGAAGGTACGATGATCTCGTGAGTGCAGCGTCGTCCGGATGTGAGCTCTGTTTACTTCTTCAACGGCAATGCGAGGAAGAAGAGATTAACACATCCGAGCGAAACAAATTATCTACAAGAGAACAAAAGTTTCGAATGATGGAGACGAAGAATAGGCCCATGAACTTGCGAGTAGGAATTGGTGCTTCGCATCTAAATCATGATCAACTGTTCGAAGAAGGAAAGATTTTTTGATTATTTGACTTTCGAATATTGTGATGATACGCTTCTTGAACTCGATATTGTTATGTTTTGCTTTCTGCAGACGCCGAGAGGTATTGTGGATTTTCAATATGCAGCTCTGTTGAGAAAAGTGCCTTGCCCTATTGCTGGTTGCTGATATTGAATAGATCAACCGAAATTTATCGGCGATGCTCGAATAGGTCGATTTATGATAGACGATGATTTGGCATCAGATGCAAACTTCAATATTGCACGAGGCTGGATGAATACTTGCATTCTTGAACATCCTGAATCGAAATGTCCTTCCTTTGAAGACGAAGTCTTACCTTCTAGAGTGATCGATGTTGGTTTGGAAAACACAAATCCATCTCTTTTAATGACACACGGCTTTAGGGGTAAATATATCGCACTGAGTCATTGTTGGGGAGGCCGAATCGAGACCATTCTAAAAACATCGAATCTGAAATCGCTCCAAAAAGGGATCACAATGACAAGCTTACCAGCTGATTTCAGAGACGCAATCTTGATCACTCGAGCGCTCGGCTTTCAATTTCTGTGGATAGATTCCTTACGTATCATTCAGGACTCCAAATATGGTTGGGGAATTGAATCAAAGAAGATGGGAGGCATTTATCGGAACTCCGCTCTGACTATCGGAGCAGCAGCAGCACATAGAGCCGCCGATGGTATGCTTCACCCTCGATCACAAACACTTCGCGTCATGAAGCCTAAACTCAAATTATCGAAAGACAGTGGATCCGATGACGCTGTGGAGATCGCTAGGTCCACTGCTTTGTCGTCTGAATATCTTGCCACATTGTTTGAATCTGGACCTCTACAATCTCGAGCTTGGGCATTCCAAGAGAGAATGCTCTCACCTCGAATACTGTGGTATGGTCGCAGACAAATCTATTGGCAATGCCTATGTGGATTTCGATCTGCGGACGGCGCGCTATCAGGTGGTGCGTGTTTTCCCTCGAGTAAGCGCTACATCTATCCAGTGATCACCCAAAGGCTTATTTTCAACCAAAATTATAATGATAAGTTCACAGAATTCTCCAGAGAAGAACTGCTAGAGATGAATTATGAGTAGCAATCCATGGTAATTGATTATTGCACCCAAGTGCTGAGTTACCCAAATGATAAACTCCCAGCTTTTTTAGGCATTGTAGCACTACTCCACAAAGTAATTGGAGGACATTACTTAGTGGGAATCTGGAGTAAACTTTTCCGGGAAAACTTGCTCTGGCATGGGCCGATGAGAATAGCATCTCATACAAAGCAGTACCGAGCACCGTCATGGTCCTGGGCTGTTACGGATGAAGGAAGCGGTCTATTTTACAACAATTTAAGTCGCTTAACTTCTACCCCTCATGATCCTATTCTATTATCACATCACATCGAACTTTCTAGCGAGAATCCGTATGGTGCTGTCAAATACGCCCATATCATTGTTGACACGCTTACATTGAAGTTGGTTCACCTAGGCAAATACAAGAATCCTTCCAACGAAACCAATTTCTTCTTTATCTTCAATTGGATTCAGGATAACGAGCTGAGCTTCACCTTCCCCCGAATTTTTGGCGAGGAAGAGGGCGAAATCAAAATAACAAGCGGGGGATCTGTAACATCTATACCTACCAAGACCGGTTTTATACATCTCAAGCTACAAAGCTTTCCACACACAATCAGGTGGGATAGAGAAAGTCCCAATTGGTCGAAAGTCTCTCCGCTCAAGTATAAAGTTATGTTCGTAGGTTTTGAGCAGCAATTGAAAAAGTACGTGGATAGCACAGCACGTCCGTGCTAGAATCAGAATCGTGTTTGAAATGTCTAATCTTGCAAGAGGATCCCGAAGATGCAAAGGTGTGTAAACGTGTGGGACAACTGGAACTGGGCTTCTTCGACAGAGAGACAGAAGATCCCGATTTGAATGCATGGCTGGCTTCAGATTGGTGGAAAAGAGAGACCCTAAAGTTGATTTGAACTGGAATTTGATGGAGGATGGCATATGGTTTTCTAGCAGTTTCACTGAAATTCTGAACAACGGTTTGTCTATGTCTGGTAGATAGACCGGGATATCCTTAGCGAATGCCAATGTATCGCAGTAAAACTTCGTTTATCTTATGAGCTATGGGTGATTGGCGTGGAACAAAAAAAAGAGGGAGAGAGGAGGGGGGGGTGAGGTTCCACGAGACCTCCAAACTCGGAGCAACACAACTGTATGGAAAATGCGAGATACTAGGTTTTAAGGGGTAGTTTGGATACACAAATCCGATCAGATTCCATTGAATAATCTACTCATTTTGATAATAGATTCTATATTTCTATTTAAATAAAAGATGACTCAATATAATAGATTTTATATAACTTTCTATAAACCAACAGAATATTTCATAGGCTGTTTAAAACCTTAAATTCAATCTATATTTCAATTCACATTTTTCACTAACTTGTATAGGAAAATAGAGAATGTAAATTGAAAAAAAAACAGCGGTTATTATTTTCGATGAGTTAAAAGATCCGCGAATTTATAGATTTTATAGGTTTCTATAGTCTAAAGCTTTAAGCTCTTTTTAGATTAGAATTTATATTTTAATTTTAATTAAAGAAAGTACTATTCCTATATTTGCTTTAATCGAATTAAAGCTATTCTTATATTCATTTATTTAATTATTCAAATAACGTAACGTATGGGGAACTCGGACATATGGGGAACTCGGACACTTTTAGCCCATCACCAACTTGAAACCGCAATAACTTTTATTATGCATACCCAATCACCTTCTACATCTGCTCAAATTGAAGAGAAGCTTCAAAAGGCTATAATTTCACTTCAATTGAAAGAATTTAAATCAATTAGAAAGGCTGCAGAGCATTTTGAAGTCCCTAAGTCTACCCTAGCTGATAGGCTGGCTGGGAAGAAAACACGTTCCCAAACCCACGAAATGGCTCAAATTCTTTCAAACGCAGAAGAAAATACTCTTGTACGATGGATTTCACGACTTACCATCACTGGATTCCCTGCTACACCTATGTTGGTGAAGGAAATGGCCGACGAAATTCGTCTTCGACGCGTTCGGGTCGCGTCATCTCGAAATCCTACCTCGACAGAAATTCCACCTATAGGCCACGAATGGATCTATAGATTCCAAAAACGACATCCAGAACTTAAAACATGCTATTCACGTCAATTAGAGTCTAATCGGGCTAAAGAAGCAACTCCGGAGAATATTCAGGCTTGGTTTGACGCGTTTCGCACGCGTCTCATTGAGCGAAAGTATGAATTAGATGATATGTATAATATGGATGAAACCGGATTTGGAGTTGGAAGTACTCAAAGTACGCGCATTATAGTCGATTCTACTCAGAAATCGAATTGGAAAGTTACAGCTGGCAAGCAAGAATGGATAACTGCATTTGAATGTGTCAATACAGCTGGAAATGCTCTATCACCTATGGTCATTTTCAAGGCTCAGAATACGAATTCTGCATGGATTCCAAAGGACACACCTCAAAGCTGGCAGTTCTCTACTAGTACAAATGGATGGACCTCAAATAGCCATGGATTAGAATGGTTAAAAAGGGTTTTCGAACCAGAATCCAAGAAAGTGTCAGGTGACCGACCTCGACTTTTGATCATGGATGGCCATTCAAGCCATATTACAGGTAGCTTTATTGCTTTCTGTATAGATAATGATATTGATTTACTTATATTACCTCCTCATTGCTCTCACTTGCTTCAGCCACTTGATATTGCGGTGTATGGGCCAATGAAACGATATCATGCTTTAGAGGTCGATCGATATTCTCGAGCTGGTGTAAAGCGAATCCAAAGAGCTGAATGGGTAGAACTCTTTCAAAATATTAGAAAAAAAGCATTGAATTCTTCTAATATTAAAGCTGGCTGGAGAGGAGCTGGTTTAGTACCTTTTGCCCCACGAAAAGTACTCGATTCATTACCATTTAACTCCTCCCAGCAACCTTCTACTCCACAAATGAGAACCCCCAATCAAGACCTAGACTTGTCTATACTCAGGAGTTCTCCTCCAGATGGAACAGAATTAAGGCAAGCAAATCAGATCTTTAATACAGCTCTAGCAAGCAGTGGTTCTCCTGCATCGCCAACTCGTCGATATGCCAAGAGAATGACTAGGCTTGTAGAATCTCAAAATGCTGAGATAGCCCTACTTCGGAAACAGCTCTCTGATGCTCAGGAGGTAATTGAGACTCGAAAGAAAAGAACTAAAGGCAAAAGAGTCAAATTACAAGGTCAATTTGTCTTTAGTACTAAGGAAGTATTGAAAATGGTACGTGAGGCGGAGGAAAAACCGAAGGAGAAAAAGCCACGAGGACGGCCACGCAAACGCCCAATTGAAGAATCAGAAGAAGAGATTGAAGAAGAAGAGCTAGAGAATAGTTCAAGTGATTCGGAATTGGAATTGGAGGATTGTGTGGCTCGTAGAACAAGATCGCGTGTAGAATAATTGAAAAAGTGTCCGAGTTCCCCATATGTCCGAGTTCCCCATACGTTACGTTAGTAATGATAAGTTTAGAATATTTGTATACTGAAAATTCAAATTTATTTCATCTAAATATATATATATATTTCACTTCTTTTTGGAATTGATATTTAAATAAGCTCTAATTTTTTTAAAAAAGCATTTATATTTTCTATGAAATATTTAAACAACAAGTATTATTTAGGAGAAATAAAAGCAACTTTTAGGAAACTATTATTATCTACATGCCCAGTATACATCTTTCAAATTTAGATTACACCCCCACCGATAACCCTCAGGGAATCACAGATCTGAGCAGAATCTCAAAATCCGCATCTTGAATGTGAATAGCAGCACTCCAACCAAACCTTTCATCAAGTCTACGCGTCCGCAAGGTCGAAATACCAAGTAAGTAAGTAAGTAAATGCGCCACCCCAAACAAGCCCACCCACCTACCACTTCCTAAACAAGATACCCACAAGCAAACCCCCCACCCCCTCCAAGACACCCCCACCAAAGCCCCCGCAAGCATAATCACACCCCCCACAATCGCATCTAGAGTACCCAACACCAAACTCAAGGCACCAACCAACCCACCGATAAGTCCACCGGTATACACTCCTCCAAATGTGTTTTGCACGAGACCCAGGGTTCCGGCAATCGATGTAATGGCATTGGCGGATGTACCGCTGATGATTTGTTGGTCTTGGGGGGAGTATGTTCGAGCTGAGAGATCGCGCTTGGTGGTTTTGAGAGCGGTGTTGGCGGTGGGGGCGGCGGTGATGATGTTTGTTACTGCTTCTGAGATGGCGGCTTGGGCGGTGCGGTTCTGGGAGATGCTTCTGGAGGAGGTTATGCTGGTGAGGGTGGAGTCTGAGGGTTGTTAAGGGGGTGTAAGAGGGATGTGTTTAAAGAAGAGCGGGATTTACTGATGGTTCCGGTGTGGGTTTGGACTTCGGTGTAGAAATTGTTCATGATATCGGTTGCGTTTGTGGGGGCACGGGATGAGATTTCAATGGTGGTTGGGAAGGTGAGAGAAGTTGTGAAAAGACCGGTCATGGCGAGGAGGGAGATGAATGCGGTTCTCATTTTGGCTATTGGGAGGGTGGATGATACGAGGTGATCAATGAATGGATTGGAGATAAGTAAAAGAGGAAATATCTTATGAAAAGGTAACGAATGTCGTTGAAAGAGAATTGGATTAATTGCATATAATATGATGAAGCAGAGAAAGAAAGAAAGAGCTAGATCGATGAAGATTGGTGTAGTTATCGAGAGAATCCAACATCTTTGTATACCCATCCTGTCGTCTTGAACACTCGTTCAGATCTTTCAAGCAAGATGATTATACACACATTGCACACAGCATTTCCCTGTGTCTGCTCCATCACGAGGTAAGTAAAACTATCTTCCATGATATCTTTCCTAACCAAAGCATCAAAATCAATGCGCATACGAGTGCATTGACCGATCCAACAATTTTCTTTTCTTCAAAAACCTATCTCGTAGTACCTATTGATAGCTGACAGCTTATTTTTTATTTCAACATCATGAAAATATCATATCATATCATATCATATCATTAAACGAAACAAAGCACAGACATTAAACCATCGCAAGAATTCGGTATTAAAACAGCTTTGACATCTCACGTGGAAAGTGCCGATCAAATTTAAGATACTTTGCACGCTAAGATGATTAGCTACATGGATTGTAGTGGCTGTCTCGTATAATACGAGGAAGGCACATGAAGGGTACTATGAATAACTTCATTCTTGTTTGGCTTGACCCGAGGGTCCGCGGTAGTTGGGGTTTAGTTGGAGGGTTGGTGGATTTTTGGGGGAGAAGTCTAGACTGTCCGAATGTCTGAATGAAAGGATGATGGTGGGTAGGATGAAGGGATGAAGGAATACCCTGTCTTTCAGGGCTGCTAGATAGGTTTCAGAGAGGTTCTGAGCAAACGGCAGTGGGAGCTCCATGCTCGCTTCAAGAACTTCGATGGATAACGTATAGGAGTGGTGAAACACGAAATCCGCTTTCATCAATTTGGTATCATTGTCGAGGAGGAATAGGGAGGGCTCGGGTGCCATGATAAGAGAGAACTATGCATGGGATGGGAGAAATGAACATTGGGATTCCGATTCGAAGAGGGCATCAGATTTGCATATCTCGTAGCGATACGAAGGGATAAATGATAAAGTAGAGTCTGAGAGTTTGGTATTTTTCTAATCAGTGGGAAATCAATGAATGGGATGGAAGGATTGTAGGATACTAAACCGCGATTCGGTATGTGTTGAGTTACTACGGAATACCTCACGGTAATGGGATGCAATTTTTTGGAGGGAGTGGTGCTTCTGAATCCTTGCAGTATCGAAAAGCGAAAGACGAAAGACAAAGCACTTGCCGCAAACTTCAGTCCCTTTCGATTGTTTGGAGTTGTTCATATTTTGGCCATCAAGTGAAATAGTGCTAGCAGTGTACTATTTTCAACTCCTCACACATCATTTAGAATGCCCAAAGTTTTGATTGGCCGTCCAGACATCCTTCGAGAGTATAGGTCCATCACCGGATTCGTATCCAGATGATTCTTTCTCGAACGGGCTCAAGAGATCGATAGAACCACATCTACTTCCCGCTCTCAACTGAAAAGAAGATCAGATCATGTTTTGAAACCTGAAGAGAATACGATACAATATCGAGGGACTAGAATATCAATCCGAGATTGAAAGGACATCAAAAGAGACTAAGAGATAAAGCTATGATGAGTAGCTTGAAATCAGGTAAGGATATCATTGACTTCTAACCCACTTCCGACTTCAGGTTGTACTACAACCAATTTTATTTCAAGGTATCACCTAAGATCACATGTCAAAATTGTAGTAAAAGACCACCATTTCATTGTAAGAACACTATGGTTCCAGCCTAGGTATTTCCCTCTTTGGGATTGAATTATCGCGAAACGCCGAGAGAAACTGTTCTTTTCCCTGTCATTCATTCATTCATTCATTCATTCATGTATTCGTCCATTCATTGCCTCCGCCCGGCATCCCATTTCGCCCGCCTCTCCTTCAAGTCCCATGCTAGCTCAGAGACAACCAATCGCATACTTCGCACCCTCAAAAACACCCTTGAAATACCTCTCCGCAAACTGACCACCAACAGAAGTAGGATGACTAATAGCCATTTCATTCTTCTCCACAATCAACCCCGGGATGAACTTCTCTCTCGCTTGATTAGCAAGAGATGTAGCGATACCCTTTCGGCGGAAATCAGAGTGAACCCAGAGTCGATCGATGCACATGTATGATTCTTGTGTGACGGAAGTGACGGAGGTGGCAAGAGTTTGGGATGCATCGGAGAGGGAGGTCGAGAGCGAGGCATTCTCAGCGGTTTCGGCAGTGGTCATAATATGAGTTGCTTTGCCAATTCGCTCAGCGAGGAGAATACCAATAGGACGAGCGCCGATGACGTAAAGAAAGACCTTGTAGCGGGGAACAGGAATAAGATCTTTGGCGTCGTTGGGGCTGGTGATCATGGACCAGAGTTGCTCGGAGGTCGGTAAGATACCATCCATGTCCATCAAAGTAGCCTGAAGGATACTCTCTACGAGGCTCTTGACGGGACCAGATTCCTTGCAGCTAATGCACTGGATGGTGTGGAGTTCGCCATTGATAACTTTCTGCCATGCTTGAGTATTGACGTACTTTGGCTTGAAAATAGGTCCGCCTAATCGAAAGATCTTATGGAATTGATCGTGCATGCGTTGGTCTGAGGCGACGTTGATTGCATACTGCATGCCGCAATTAGAGCATTTATTGGAGAAGGATTGGCCGAGATCTAGAATTTGTTGATGAAGAGCAAAACCCATGGGGCGTGCAATCTCAGCTCTGAGCCTTGCACGTTCTGGAGCTTCAAGGGCTTGGTCGGCAAGAGGGATGAGAGTGCCGTGATCGATGATGGCTTGGTCTCTCATGTCTTGAGCATCTTGATAACGTTCCATCAATTCAACTCGTGAATCATCGGTAAAATCTCCACAGAGTTCCTGCAGATCGTCCTCATAAATTTCAGACATTGTGTCGATTTTTGGTAAGTTTGGTTTGGTGCTAATGCGACGCCGAACCAATTTTGATCTTTTCAGTATGAAATGATCCTGAGGTATTGGGGGAGGCGATGAAGGGGGAGATGATACTGGATGATGAGGTGAATCCGAACGAGTAGAGGATTGTGATTTTGGCGGACTCGAAGATCGTTGTGGTCGTGATTGTGGTTGTAATTGTGGCTGTGGTAACGGTTTAAAGTAGCTTCGAATCGAAGATTTGTTAACTTTCTCCACTGGATGAAACTTTGAAGTAATAGCGGTATCTTGCCTGGGTAAGATCTCTGACGAGGGAGAAATTGGTCTCTTTTTCGAAGCCGAAGTAATATTTCTCCGTGAATTTTGCCGTGGGGTCTCTGAATCAATTCTAGAATGATTCGAAGCGAGACTTTCTTTTGAAATAATTAATTCTGAGACAGGAGAGGGTGATTTCGTCGTATTAGTGCCTGTCTTATACTGCAACCTTGAGCTAGATCTCGATACTGTCGTAGAATTCGAAGCCTCCGCGGTAGAAGTGAGTTTGGCGCCTTGAATCTTCGTTGAAGATTTACGTTTCAAAGAGTTAGGAGAATCGGAAGAACTGATCTCATCATCGCGTCGATTTTGCTGATTAGACTTGAGTTCTGTAAGAGGAGAACTAGATCTGACAGATCTAGGAGATAAAACTCGTGAGTTTATGTTAGAAAAACTCTCGATTTCTCCCCGCGGCTGGCTCGAAGGAGAACGAATCCGAGGAGAACGTGGTTTCTCTCGAAATCTATACCTAGAATGGCTTTTTGAAGGAGTGCTCGATTCAGAAAGAACTGGAGAGGTAATTGACACGAATTCCGAAGCATCAACGCGTTGTCTCTTGTTAGAGAGATTTTCATTGCTTCCTCTTGTGCGTTTGGAATAAGTTCTCATAGTAGCCTTACTTTTTCTTAGGGCACATGATTAGCGGCTGTGCTTTTGCAAGTGAATATGTGAGTTGATACCTTTTTGAATGATTCTCCATTTTTACTTCCCGTTGTGGTGTTGAATTTTTGTGATAATCTTTCTCCTGGTCATGATATGTTGAAGATTTGGGGAGACGCGTTTCCGGTAACTTTGATAGAAGTTGTGATAACACGCTAGTTAAAGTGGTGGACCGTGCTCGAACTGATTAAGAAATATACTTGATCAATTCATCCAACATTCATCTCATGAACATTTCAACATTCGATGAATGAATGCATGAACCCTTCATCTTTGTACACAGGAAGGTGAACTAAAAAGTGAAACGGAATTGTGAGTCCTATCATTTTTGATTGTTCTCTTGAACTTCGAAAGCCTTGTCCTCAGCCTTGCCTTATTAAATCGATGAGAATTCTGCAAGTTACTGCACCTGGAGAGATATTATAATGCTATCCTACCTACTCCCAAATTCGGCTTTTTTCTTGTCACAGAGTTATTTTTCTCATGTTAAGAACGTTGCCTATGACTGGTATCTAGGTACCAAGGTAATATAACTGAGAATACGTTGATTGTAACATTGCTACTCACAACACTATGATATCGCCCCAGAGCTTCTCACGTATTACCTCGTTAAATCAAGAGTTGCGAAAGTACGGTAAGTCTACAGAATCTTCACCTCAGGTACTTGGCTGACCTGCATCATTGGATACCGGGAGAGTGCTATCCGTGAGAATGTGGTAATATTGACGGGTCAATACCCGTACCCGTCGGGTTCGAACTGGGTAGCTACTTCGAGATAGCATTCGCCCACGGATAAGTTGCCTAATGCCCAATACTGTCACAGTGAGATTATGAACGCTTTCTGCCCACAATGCAGAGATTTTCACCAAACAAACCTTGAGCATTTCGATGGTCTCATGTGAGGAACCTTGAAGTGATGATTGAAGGTATGTAAGGAGTCGGGCAGAATGCTACCAGTGTGGGTACTGTTGCGGACAGGATAGATGTGGGTTTGGTGCGTATTGACATTGACATAAAAGCGAAGGGTTTGGGTTGCGTG